AAGACACTGAAGAAAAAAAAAAAAAGACACTGAAGGACTTAAGAGTTCAAAGAACTATAAAAGTGGAAGGGACCTTAGGATCATTTAGGCCAAATCTCTTATCTCATAAAAGAGCAAACTGATACCCAGAGAGGGTAAGTGCATTCATGCTAAGTCGTTCAGTCGTGTCTGACTCTGTGTGGCCTTAGGGACTGTAGCCTGCTAGGCTCCTCTGTCCATGGGATTCTCCGGGCAAGAATACTGGAGTGGGGTGCCGGCTCTCCTCTAGTGGATCTTCCAGACCAAGCGATTGAACCCGAGTCTCTTACATCTCCTACATTGGCAGGTGGGTTCCTTACCACTAGTGCCACCCAGGAAGCCCACAGGTGACTTGCCTCAAATCACAGCTAAGTATTCATACCACAGGTGGAACTAGGATCTAGATTCCTGACACCTACACCTGCCCTCTTATTATTTTAAGCTGCTGTTCCTTTTATTGTCTGGCATGCATATTGTGGAGTAAATATAAATTCACTATAAATTACACCCAGGCCAGTGGGCAAAGGGATGACGAACAGGTTAGTCAAAGTGGTCAGGCTGGTCCGTACCCAGATGGCCCCGTACCCAGGGCTCTTCTCTCGTCTTGCTCTTCCCTCAGTCTGGCATGTTCTTCCCTTGGATATCCAGGGACCTGCCCCCTTCACCTCAGTCAAGCCTGTCCTTGAAAACAAACGAGGGATGCTGAACTTGCAATAACCCTCTACCCTGGTTTCCCTGTTTCTACAGGAAGGTCTTACAAGAGAGCCTTAATACCCCACCAGAAGGGAGGTACTGAGCTCTGAGATGATTTCTAGGAAATACTCATGAATTGTGGGACCCTGGGCAAGCCGTCTTCCCTCTCTGGGTCTCCACTTTCTCTACAACAAGAGGCTAGCCCATAATTGCTAAGCTACCCCTCAACCTTCAGGACACTTTTTCTTTTTTAATTATTTTTTATTTTTGGCTACACTGAGTCTTCATTGCTGGCCACGAGGTTTCTCTAGATGTGGTGAGCAGGGGCTACTCTCTAGTTGCGGTGCACAAGCCTCTCATTGTGGTGGCTTCTCTTGCTGTGGAGCACGGGCTCGAGAGCTCGGGCTTTAGTAGTTGCAGCGCACGGGCTTAGTTGCTCCGTAGCTTATGGGAATCTTCCCAGACCAGGAATTGAACCCATGTCCCCTGCATTGGCAGCCAGATTCTTAACCACTGGACCACCAGGGAAGTTCTGGGACTCTTTTGATGAAGCAGCATTGCTGCAGGAGATTGCACTGTTTCATAAGCTAACTGATCTGGTTCTTAAACTTGACCCAGACATTACCTCCCTGCATCATGAAGACCACTGAACACACCCACATTCTCAACTTGTGGGTCCTGATCTATCTCAGAACCAGATCCTCATGAAGTGCCCTCTTGCCTCCTCCAGTGTCTCCTGGAAGAGATAGGCGAATATGAAGTCATCAGATGTAATGAGTGTTTTTTCCTCAAAAGATAATAGAGATATTCAGTGAACATCAGAAATGAGAAAACTGCCCACGTGATAGGAACTGTGTGATTATTTGTTTTTGTAGTCCAGGTGGAGCTAGTGGTAAAGAATCCACCTGCCAATGCAGGAGACATGAGACAAGGGTTTGATCCCTGGGTCAGGAAGATCCCCTGCAGGAGGAAATGGCAAACCCCTCTAGTATTCTTGCCTAGAGAATCCCATGGACAGAGGAGCCTGGCAGGCTACAGTCCATGAGGCCACAAAGGGTCAGATACAACTGAGTAACTAAACACACACAAGAAGTTTTAGATTCAAATGAATCTACTTTACTTTACAATGGCTGTATATATACGTGTATGATGTTGTATGTGTGTCTGTGCACGCTCGTGCAAGTACAGATACAATTTTGAAAACACGATTATGTATTACATATGTTTACATTATCCAGAAGATGTATACAGAAATGTATTTTTACTCATGGAAATCAAAAGTTACTATGATAACTAACATACTCCCTGAGTGACTAATGTGCTTAGCATTTTATACAGTTTTTCTCCAACTCAGCATAAATCTATAGGGTTGGAATTATTTTCTCATGTTACATAGGAAGAAGCTGAGGTTCTGAGAATTAAGTGATAATGACCAGCAACATGGTTATTGGAGTTGTCTGTTCTTGCAGCATAGGCTGGCCTGCCCAGGCTCTAAGACACAGTGATCTGATGAAAATGCTGCAAGTCTTACCTTTAGTTACTCATCCTTAGCTCCTCTCTCATTACACCCTACTTCCTGTTCTCTGTGAAGTGCGCTGGCGGATGGGCAGGTCCACTTACCCCTGGAGACCATTCCTATTAGAGTCGGGGGAATCAGTGACACATACACATCTCCTAAGCTCTGGCCGCTGAGAGGGCCTAGAAGCAGGGAGATCGTAATGGCAGTGGGAACACCAGCATTCAGATCTTGGTTTTCAGATACCATTCTCCAACTAAAGAACAAAAGCTCGCGGAGAAGTGTTTGGTTTCAGGGCTGGGAATCACACAGGGAAAATAAAACATGAGCTGAGGGTGTCTTCTCAGATCTAGAAAGTAGAAAAGTGCTCAAAAAGGGACAGGACATGTTCAAAGGGCACAGGTACCAACCTGAAAGAGCTCTTAAAGTGGACATGGCTGGAGCAATTTGAGCAACAAAATACATAATACATAATGATAGTACTGGATTATAACCTATAGATAAAATAAATATCTGATATAAAAAGTACCTGAATAAATACATAGCACAGATACTTCTTTCTTATAGAAGAATTCCAACTAATAAATGTAAGAGGAAAGAGGGAAACAGAAAATCACCATTAGAACCAAGTCTGAGGAAAAACAGGATATTTATATAGTTTCAAGGTATCATCCTCCAAGACAGTGATTAATTATGGTGGCTCAAATGGTAAAGAATCCGCCTGCAATGCAGAAGACCCAGGTTCAATCCCTGAGTTGGGAAGATCCCTTGGAGAAGGGATCTTCTACCCACTCCAGTACTCTTACCTGGAGAATCTCATGGACAGAGGAGCCTAGTGGGCTATGGTCCATGGAGTTGCAAAGAACTGGACACAACTGAGTGACTAACATGTTCATGTTCAAAGTATATTCCCCCAAGAGTGATTATTTACAAAGGGAAAAATAGTGACTTTACAGAGGAGAGGCCTGGCTGGTACCACCTTAACCATGTGCTCCAGGTTAACCTCACCAGTGGCATGGGTGCTCCCGACATGAGGGCTGTCACTTCCGTAGGGTTCTTGCCCAAAATGCATAACCTCAATCTAAAATTCATATGGCAAATGGAACCCCTGCCCCACACTTGCTCTTTTCCATTTCAGCTGGTTGCCACTCTGGGTTTGCAGCTGCTCAAGCTAAAAACTGACTCCTCTCTTTTTCTTACACTTGCATGCAATCCATTCAAAAAATATGCTGGCTGTATTCTCTACAGCCCATACACTCAAGATTCTATACTCAGGATCTGATCACTTCCTACCTCCTCTGAAAAATACTCTGGACTAAACCACCATCACCTCTAGCTTGATTGTGAAAGTCCTCACGGGAGACCACTCTCAACCCACTGGCTGGTAGGATGCATTCAAGAATGTAAGTTGGACCCTGTCACTCCAGGCTGTTCAAAACCCTCATTTGAATCAGAGTAAAAGTGAATGTCCTCATCACAGTCTATCAGGTGCGACACCACCTGGTCCCTGTTACCCCATCACCTCCTTCCCACTGCCCTCCCTGCTCCTTCTGCTCCAGCTGGCCTCCTGCCATCCCTTCCTATGAGACACACTCCTTCCTGGAAGCTTGGCTTGCGATGCTTCCTTTGCACAGAATGTTCTTCGTCTAAACACCAGCTTGGCTAACATCCATCCCCCCAACTTCAAGGCATGGTTTAAGTCTCACCCTTTCATGAGAGCTACCCTAATACCCCATGAAAACTGTAATCCCAGGACTTCCCTGGTGGTCCAATGGTTAAGAATCTGCCTCCAATGCAGAGGATGGAAGTGGGTTTGACCCCTGATTGGGGAACTTAGGTCCCACATGTTGCAGGGCAACAAAGCCCAAGTGCTGCAACTAGACAGCCTGTAAGCTGCAACTATTGAGGCTGCGCCACAGCTAGAAAAAGCCCGCATGCTGCAATGAGAACTCAATGCAGCCAAAAAACCACTGTAATCCACCCATATTCTCCCAACCTTGTCTACTTAGCACTTAACATACCCTATTATTTATTTATGTATTAGACTTACTGTCTTGTCCTCCCTGCTAGATGAATCTCATTGATGCATCCCAAACACCAAGAACAATAACTAGCACAGGGAATACTGAATAAATATCTGTTTAGTAAATGAATGAATTCCAGGCCCCATGAATCTGGGATAGACGAATGGCAGGAAACAGGTCAAGTTTGTTGTTTAAAATCAAGGGACTACCATCTTTACTACAGGGGAAAACCCTGAAGAGAGGCCTGGACAGAACCTGAGGGCTACAGGAGCCACTTCTGAGCTTTCAGTAAGCCCATGTGGGTCACCCGGCCCTAGGAGGCAAAGCCTCTCCTCTGGGCACGTAAAGGCCGAATGCCCCCTTCCCCAGGATCAGGAGAACATGCTGGTGTCGGGAGGGCAGTACGCTGAAACACTGACACCAGGGCTGTGTCCCGTGCTTGTGTACATTACCTCATTCAACCTCCCCAGCTACACAGCTGAAGTTTCCATGATCTCCTCTCTACGGATGAAGAAACCAAGGCTCTGAGCAATTGAGGCACTAGCTTGAGACATACACTAATGAGTGTGGAGCTCATGTTCCAGCCAGGTCAGGGAAATGGGGGTGCCCATGCCTGTTTGCCTTAGTTCTCCTGAGGGCCCTCAGCAATTGGAGATCTACCCATGAAGCTGTCCCCCCTACTCAGGACAGCCCTGTGCCCAGGTCCTAGCCCTGCAGCCTTCTCTGCTGGCTTCTCACCAAAGCCCCACCTGGATATGATGACGAGACAGGCGGAGAATCTCCCGGGCCATCAGCAAAGTCTTTGAGTCCATCACCAGGTACAGGAGATGCAGGAGGGCAAGGAAGCCTGCTCCTCTGAGGTCTGTGGCTGGATTTGTTCCTAAGGCAGAAACCAAGAGAAAACTGAGGGAGTTTAATGAAACCCTTGGACAGCAAGGAGATCAAACAAGACAATCCTAAAGGAAATCAACCCTGAATATTCGTTGGAAGGACTTATTCTGAAGCTGAGGTTCCAGTATTTTGGCCACCTGATGCAAAGAGTCACCTCAATAGAAAAGACCCTGATGTTGGTAAAGACTGAAGATAAAAGGAGAATTCTGGGATGACAGAGGATAAGATGGTTGGATGGCATCACTGACTCAATGGACGTGAACTTGGGCAAACCTGGGAGATAGTGAAGGACAGGGAAGCCTGGTGTGCTACAGGCTTTGTGTCCCAAAGACTTGGACACAACTTAGTGACTGAACAACAATAAAGTCCCTGCTCCCTGAGTCAACGACCTTGATCACGCCCAGGTGGTGAATCTAGACTTCCTCTGACTGACTGCAATGAGGTGGCCCTCAGCTCTGCCAGGGCAGTCAGAGATGCAGGGAAGGGGCTTTTATCCTTCCCTGGTGCTAAGGAGCCCACCAGTCTCTATGGGATGCCAGGGGAGGTGACATGCGAACAGCAATAGGCACCCCTGCCCTTCCCAGCCAGTGATATTAGTGGAGGCTCAGTGGGGTACTTGGATTTCTATCCCCACCTGGCAATAATGAGGTGACATCACCTTTCCCCCACTGCCCAGTGTCAGAGGAGGCCTGCTACAATAGAAGATTTAAAGAAGATCCACAGTGTCATTATATACTACCCCAAATGTCTAGACAAAATTAAAAAATCACTTACTACACCAAGAACTAGGAAAATCTCAACTTGAATAACAAAAGACAATTAATAGCAACATTGCTGGGGGAAGGATGAGGGAAGGATAGAGTTTGGGATGGTCATGTACACACTGCTATATTTAAAATGGATAACCAACCAGGACTTACTGTATATTACAGGGAACTCTGCTCAATGTTATATGGCAGCCTGGATGGGAGGGGAGTTTGGGGGAGAATGGATACGTATATATGTATGGCTAAGTCCCTTTGCTGTTCTTCTGAAACTATCACAACATTGTTAACTGGCTATACCCCAATACAAAATAAAAGGCTTGCACAGCAAGGGGGAATCAAGATTACAGTCAGAATGAAGGCTGCCAATCAGGATAGGGAGACTACCCTCGCTATTTGGCTGGGCCCAATGTAGTCAGTCATGTCCAACTCTTTAGGACTCCATGGACTATACAGTCCATGGAATTTTCCAGGCCAGAATACTGGCGTGGGTATCTGTTCCCTTCTCCAGAAGCCTGTGATCGATTCCAGGTCTCCCACATTGCGGATGGATTCTTTACCAGCTGAGCCACCAGGGAAGCCCAAGAATACAGGAGTGGAATGCCTATCCCTTCTCCAGTGGATCTTCCCAACCCAGGAGTCAAATGGGGTCTCCTACATTGCAGGCAGATTCTTGACCAGCTGAGCTACCAGGGAGGCTAGTAAAGTAATGCTCAAAATTCTCCAAGCCAGGCTTCAGCAATATGCGAACCATGAACTTCCAGACGTTCAAACTGTTTTAGAAAAGGCAGAGGAACCAGAGTTCAAATTGCCAACATCCACTGGATCATCAAAAAAGCAAGAGAGTTCCAGAAAAACATCTATTTCTGCTTTGTTGACTATGCCAAAGCCTTTGACTGTGTGGATCACAATAAACTGTGGAAAATTCTGACAGTGATGGGAATACCAGATCACCTGACCTGCCTCTTGAGAAAACTGTATGAGGGTCAGGAAGCAACAGTTAGAACTGGACATGGAACAACAGACTGGTTCCAAATAGGAAAAGGAGTATGTCAAGGCTATATATCGTCACCCTGCTTATTTAACTTATATGCAGAGTACATCATGACAAATGCTGGGCTGGAAGAAGCACAAGTTGGAATCAAGACTGCTGGGAGAAATATCAATAACCTCAGATATACAGATGACACCACCCTTATGACAGAAAGTGAAGAAGAACTGAAGAGCTTCTTGATGAACATGAAAGAGGAGAGTGAAAAAGTTGGCTTAAAGCTCAACATTCAGAAAACTAAGATCATGGCATCCCATGGTCCCATCACTTCATGGGAAATAGATGGGGAAAGAGTGGAAACAGTGGCTGACTTTATTTTTCTTGGCTCCAAAATCACTGCAGATGGTGATTGCAACCATGAAATTAAAAGACGCTTACTCCTTGGAAGGAAAGTTATGACCAACCTGGACAGCATATTAAAAAGCAGAGACATTACTTTGTCAAAAAAGGTCCACCTAGTCAAGGTTATGGTTTTTCCAGTGGTCATGTATGGATGTGAGAATTGGACTATAAAGAAAGCTGAGCACTGAAGAATTGATGCTTTTGAACTGTGGTGTTGGAGAAGACTCTTGAGAGTCCCTTGGGCTGCAAGGAGATCCAACCAGTCCATCCTAAAGGAGATCAGTTCTGGGTGTTCATTGGAAGGACTGATGTCAAAGCTGAAACTCCAATACTTTGGCTACCTGATGCGAAGGGCTGACTCATTTGAAAAGACCCTGATGCTGGGAAAGATTGAGGGCAGGAGGAGAAGGGGACAACAAAGGATGAGATGGTTGGCTGGCATCATCCACTCAATGGATATGAGTTTGGGTAAATTCCAGGAGTTGGTGATGGACAGGGAGGCCTGGCGTGCTGTGGTTCATGGGGTCTCAGAGAGTCGGACACAACTGAATGACTGAACTGAACTGAATGTGGTCAGAAGAACCCCTAAACGTGTGACAGGGAGGTATAAACACAGCATCAGAAAGAGGGATGTGAGGACAGATTCAGCTCTGAGAGATGCTGTGTTCCTGGCTTTGAAGGAGGAGGAATGTGGGAGGCCTCTAGAAGATGGAAAAAGCAAGGAAATAGATTTTCTCCTGGAGAGTCTAAAAATGAATACAGCCCTGCGGTGACCTTGATCTTGCCTCAGAGAGAATGCATCAGACTTCTCAACTACAGAACTAGAAGGTGGTAAATCTGTGGGTCTTTTTCCTTTTGGGGATGTACTGCGCAACATGTGGGATCTGAGATTCCCACTCAGGATTCGAATCTGTGGCCCCTGTGTTGGAAGCACAGAGCCTTAACTGCTGAGCTGCCAGGGAAGTCCCCCATATTGTTTTAAGCCACTAAATTTGTGGTAATTTTCTGCAACAACAATAGAAACCTACAAATGCCTTTGATAAAGGTCTCAGTAAAGAAATATCAGGTGTAAAGAACAAAACAGAAACTTTAGGACTGAAAAATATAATAACTAAAATTAAAAACTCAGTGGGAGTTGCTCAGCTCTCGCCTCAGGTCTAGGCTCTGGCCCTCATCGCTACCCGCACCCGCGCTCACCCCCTTACCGGATCATGGCCCACGTGGAGCGCACCTTTACTGCTATCAAGCCCGACGGCGTGCAGCGCGGCCTGGTGGGCGAGATCATCAAGTGCTTCGAACAGAAGGGATTCTGCCTTGTGGCCATGAAGTTCCTTCAGACCTCTGAGGAACTCCTGAAGCAGCACTACATTGACCTGAAAGTACGCCCATTCTTTCCAGGGCTGGTGAAGTACATGAACTCAGGGCCAGTTGTGGCCATGGTTTGGGAGGGCCTGAATGTAGTGAAGACAGGACGAGTGATGCTTGGGGAGACCAACCCAGCAGATTCTAAGCCAGGCACCATTTATGGTGACTTCTGCATTCAAGTTGGCAGGAACATCATTCATGGCAGTGATTCAGTAAAAAGTGCTGAGAAAGAAATCAGCTTGTGGTTTAAGCCTGAAGAACTGATTTAATACAAGTCTTGTGCTGTTGACTGGATATATGAATAAGAGATGGTCAGAGCATCAGTCCCTTCAGGCACCACTTCCTGTGTTCCTGGGCACAGCTCTTCATTCCACTGATATGCAAGCAGCAGGATGGATGTTTCTTTTCTAAAGCATATTTACCAATAAAGCCTTTAAAAACTGCAAAAAAAAAAAAAAAAAACCCTCACTGTGTGGGCTCAACAGCTAAATAGAGACAACAGAGGAAAGAACCAGTGAACTTGAAGATGGAACAATATAAACAGCCCACTCTGAACAACAGAGAGAAAAAACAAAACAGAATGAGCAGAGCCTTGGAGACCTCTGGGCTATACAGACATCCCCTTAAAACAAACAGAGCCTCTGGGACTAGGACTAAGAGGAACAGTAACAGAAGATCTAGCATATGTGTGGTTAGAATTATACAAGACAGGAGAAAGAGAAGGAATGAAAAAAGTACTCAAAGTAATAATGGCTGATAATTTACCAAATTTGCCAAAAGACATAAACCTACAGATTCAAGAAATTGAGCAAAACCCTAATAGGATAAACCCAAAGAAATCTCCACTAAGACATATCATAGTCAAACTCCTAAAAACAAAAGAAAAAAGTAAGTAAAAAAGACCCTGAAAGTAGAGACAGAAACCACTCCTCATCTACCAAGAAGCAATAATTCAAGTGCCAGCAGAATTCTCATCAGAAACTATGGAAGCCAAAAGGAAGCAGCCTATTTATTTTCAAGGGATGAAAGAAAAGATCTGTCAACCTGGAATTCTACATTCAGAGAAATTATCCTTCAGGAGTAAAGGGCAAATCGAGACGTTTGATGACATTAGATGAAGGAAAGCTAAGAGGATTTATGCTGGCTGACCTACTTTAGAAAATGGCTAAAGGAAGTTCCTGAAGCAGAAGGGAAGTGAAACAAGAAGGAATCTTAGAAGATCAGAAAGGAAGAAATAATAAGGGATAGAGTAAACATATGGGTAAATACAACAGAATTTCCTTCTCCTCTTGAGTTATTTAAATTAATGGTTGAAAGAAAAATCATAACACTGATGTGATTCTCCATGTACAAGTCAATTATATTATAGACGAGGGAGGGTAAAGGGACTTAAACACACCGCCAATACCAACAGAGCACCAATAAATTTTGAGCATAAAAGTTTCCTTTTCAAATCAAGATCTTTTCCTGTTTTACACAAATGTAATTTTATATATGGTTTAGAAAAAAAACGGACAATTGAAAAACAGGTGAAATAATTTCGTTTCACTCAAAAAGTGAAATAATGTAAAACACAATTATCATCAACACTAAAAGAAAAGAACAAAAAGAAAACACTGCAGGACTTCCCTGGGGGTCCAGTGGCTAAGACTCCAAGTTCCCAATGGAGGGGGCCTGGCTTGGAACCCTGGTCAGACACAAGATTCCACATACCACAGCTAAAAGTTCCTGTGTGCTGCAAGGAAGAATGAAGATTCCACGTGCTGTAACTAAGAACCTGAGCAACCAAATTAATTAATTAATTAAAAAAACCCAACAACACTGGATTCTATATCATATAACTCCCATGCTTTCCATTCCACTTAGAGTAAATGTTTTACACTGGCCTGCAAGGCCCTGAGTGAACTATTCTTGTCCACTTCAGCCACTGCTACTTCTCAGAAGGCCTCAGGGCCTTTGCATTTGCTGTCCCCTCTTCCTGGAATGCTTTGCCCCAGATATTCTGTCTAATGGTGCTGGCATAACAGGAAGAGGACTATCTGGGTTCTCACGCTAGTCTTGGAATAGGAGTCAGGGAGAAGATGAACCGTTTCTCTCTCTTACCCTGAAAGCCCAGATCTTCCCAGTGGTCTCCATGGAGGGCACAGTCAAACTTGGAGCCAGTCAGCTTCTTATAGATGGTCTGGAGGACTCGGCCATGCATGGGATCTTGGCTATCCAGGCCACCTGCCCCAAAACACAAACATGCTCTGCTGGATTGGCCCTCAGGGGAGGACAGAGTGCTTCCCAGAGAACGTAGAAGCCAAGACAGACCCAGCCTGGACGCCCACACCCGGCCCTCCCCAAAACGTGGTTAATGCAAGAGCCTCGGTTTAGTCTCAGTCACAGGATGGACAAACCGTTCTCTCTGTCTGACCGCTCATGCAGCACCTGCCTTATGGCCATGCACTCACACTGAGCGATGGTCAAGACCAAGTCCCTTTCTTCACGGAGGCCCTGGTGGAGCTTCGGAGGCCCGAAGAGGCAGTGCCGGAGGGCAGCGAGCCCAGTCCTTCGGATGGTGGGCTGGATTCTTTTCTGGGGAGAAAGGTACAAGAGTGGGCAGTACTGAGTTCATTTGCTCTCATGAACTTACCAGGAGGCTCAGTACAGGACTGGTCTTAGAGAAACAAATGGTTCCCAACTAACTGGCTGGCCTCTGAGCCAGGGAAACAGGGCAGAAGCTATGAAGCATCTGCTATTAATAAATCTCCAGGGGACTTCCCTGGCGGTCCAGTGGTTATAACTTCACCTTCCATTGCAGGGGGTGTGGGTCCTGGTTGGGGTGTTTGATCCCTAATTGGAGAGCTAAGATCCCACATGCCTCCAAGCCAAAAAACTGAAACATAAAACAGAAGCAATAATGTAACAAATTCAATAAAGATTAAAAAAAATAAAAAAATAAATCTCCAGGGACAGGTTCTTCCAGCTCTCAGGTTCTTTGTAAGCAGTGAAAGAGATGTCCCTAAGCCCAGATCTAATCAGCCTCTATTTAGCCTGTATCAGCCTATATCAGTCTGTATTTAGCCTCTGGGCTTTTCCAGAAATGGCTCTGTCACTGACTTCCAAAGAAGCTAGAGGGCATTGGCTATGGGGACTGGCATCTGATAGACAGACAGACAGACAGACAGACGCCAGGACGAGTCTCCCAGCAGGGCTGCTTCCATACTTTGTATGTCTGTGTTTGTCTCTCTCTGTAAAAGACATATAGTCTAACGGCCCTCTCAACTTCCAGGATAAGATAGTTGGTGAGAAGGGGAGTCTAGGGCACTTTCTTGGAGCTGGATACCCCTGAGGGGTAGCTGGCGCCTTCTGGCTACACCAGCTTCTGCTGACGCCTCTGTGTTCAGAGCCACTGCTGCAGGGCTTAGGATACTCTGATTTCAGCAGCTTCTGGCTCTCTGGGATCAGTCTGATTCCTATCTTCAGCCTCTCTCCTCGAGCCAGGCTTTAGGTTGAACATTTGAATTCACAGTCCTCTAAACTTACTACTAGGCACTCAAGATGTCTGCCAGCTTTTCATTTCCTTAGCACTCTTTTTCCAACCCCACATATTTTTTAAATTCCCAAAGAACTTCTAGTTCCTCTAGGATATGGAAAATTTTCCTGTATTGGCCATGAATCTCTCAGCTCTCTGCAGGCCACCCTGCTTCCTCGAGGGACTTCTAGCATCTGATTCCAGACCCCCCCATCCCTAGGACGGGAGAGTGGGGAGCAGCTCCACAGACCCCCATAAGACAGGACCACTAGAGCTCTGGAGACACAGTTCCTGAGATCGCACGACACGTGCGACACGTGCACGACACTTGTGATCCTGTACCCTCAGATTTCTCAGTTGGGACAGAGCCCTCGACTGGAAGCTTCCCTCTTGCCTGCCCAGTGCCCTGTCCTGAGCTTAGTCGCTCAGTCGTGTCCAACTCTTTGCAACTCCATGGACTAGTCCGCTAGGATCCCTTGTCCATGTGGATTCTCCAGCCAAGAATGCTAGAGTGGGTTGCCATGCCCTTCTCCAGGGGATCTTCCCGTGGCCTATCCTGATGGGGTAGAAACCTGGCTTCAGGCAAGAAAGCACTTTGCTCAAGACCCAATCACCCCACCCCCCGCGGTGTCATACCTTGAAGGAGGAGAGGTCCACTGTCTGGAAATGCTGCAGGGCCTCACTGAAGGAGATGAGCTGCCCAGGCTGGTCCATGCTGGCCCGGCTCCCTGTGGCAAAAGGGAAGACACTTCAGGACTTGTGACAGGAGCCACTCTATCAGCAAACATGTACCAAGGGCCTTCTGGTTGTCACCTCTAAGCCCACACAGGCTTCCAGCTGTCAGTGTCAGACACCTACAGCGACAACCAACCCGCTGTCAGGGGGCTGGTGGTGTTCACAGGGCGACTCCCTTTTAGAGCTGGCTGGGTGGAGGTGGGCCAGGCCGAGCCCTGCAGAGCCGGGCTTATCTGTAGGAGCCCCTAAGTTCACTCATCCGTGAGTGGGGTGCGTCACTGCCTGGAGGAGCTACCCACACAGATGCATGCGACAGGTTTGTCTAGGGGCCTTTCCTGGTTTCTACTTCGCCCCTTCTCATGCCCTGGAGTTGAATGATCTCTCCTCCAGCCTTTGTTCCAGGGAATTAACTCATCAACCAGCAATTCAGGTGATGGCTGATACAGCCCCTGTAACATCTTGGCAGGTGCTCAAGTGGGGTTCAGGTTAGATTTAGGTCTCAGTTCTCCCCTCCCACAGCTCCATCCAAACCTCCCAAAAGGAACGATACACAGTTCTGACATAGCCCTCAGAGCCTTTCAGCATATGGCCTCAACCTCCATCTCCAGAGATTTCCTTATACAGTGAACAACCTACTCAACCTGATGCAGGGGTCCTGGCTGCCCACCTCCATCCTCTGCCCAACCTCATCACCCTGCAGAAGCTGACCCTGACCATGGTCCTCCTCGTCCTCTCTCAGACTCTGTGGCATTCATCTCCCTTTCCTCCAGAGGTTGGAGGGCATCACTTTTGAATTGGGAAAAGAGGTTTCATTCTATATCACAAATCAAAAATGAGAACACTCGGGAATTCTGTCTCCTAATCCCAAACAGAGCATCAGCCTCGTGGGTGGACAGTCCCTTTAGCAGCAGCGGGCTGTGTGAAGAGGGTGCCATTCCTCTACTTACCTGTCTCCAGGTGGATGCTGTCCACAGCTTCCCATTCTTCTTGGGCTTGGAGGACTTCTGTACTTACAACTGCAATAGTGAGACAAGGACACACCCTGAGATCTAGGTATGTCTGGATCACTGTCATAGTGCCTGGCTTTATCTGCTTGTCTTGCCAGACAGTTGCCAAAGTGAGCTTTCAAAAAGGCCAGACCTGATGCCAGCCCACTGCACGGAACCCTCTATGGATTCTTCGTAATTCTCACAATGAAACCCCAACCCTCCTTCAGCTCCAGCCCCTCCTGGCGCAGCTCCATCTCAGCCTGCAGCCAACTCCAGCACCACCCTCCCCTGGCACCTTCTTTAGCCTCTGGAATCTGCTTTTAGGAGCAGCACCATGAGAGTCCCCGACACTCCGTTCTTGTCACAGTGTTTTAACTGTCCTGCCTGCTGCACTGGGAGCTACAGGAGGGCAGGGTTCTTGGGGTTCAATGGGTGCACCATGAATGTTTTTGTTGCCGTTTTTGTTTGTTTTTGGCCATGCCACCTGGCATGCGGGATCTTAGTTTCCCAAGTACCTGGGATCAAACCTGTGCCCCTTGCAGTGGAAGCATGGAGTCCTAACCACTGGACCACCAGGGAAGTCCTCATAATGAATGTCTGATGAATGAATGAAAAGCACAATGAAAGGAGGGGGGACAGAAGAAAAAAACAGCAGCAGGACAGGCTCTCTATAATCACTGCACAGCCCTTTACTAAAGAGGACACAGGCAAACAGTGGGGAGGATGGGGAAGCTTCTGTTCAAACCAAACTGGTGAGCCTTCCAGCCTGAATAGTGTAAGCAAGTTAGGACAGCTCCCCTCTGCCTTGCAACCAGGGCTGAGGACTTTCTGTGACAGTGGACTGTTTTGGAAGTACACTTGCAAAAGGGTTTCCCCAGTGGCTCAGACGGCAAAGAATCTACCTGCAGTGCAGGAGACCTGGGTTTGATCCCTGGGTTGGGAAGATGCCCTGAAGAAGGGAATGGCTACCCACTCCAGTGTTCTTGCCTGGAGAATCCTATGGATAGAGGAATCTGGTGGGCTACAGTGCATGGGGTGTAGAGTCAGACATGACTGAGCAACTAATACACACTTGCAAAATTAAAGAAAAACCTACCCCAAACTCAAAACACTAATGGATAATGAGGATGAGGAGGCTGCTGGGGAGCAGGAGGGGACCACAGCGAAAGCACCCTGTAGAGCCAAATGACTTGTGAACTTTTTAGCTCCCTCACGAGCTGTGCTTCTTCAGGCAAGTTACTCAACCATCTGTAATCATTCTTGAGATTACTATGAGAACAGAGTCTAGGGGAACATGCGGCCCAAGGTCACTTGCTCAATACACCTCAGCTAGCATGGCCGACCCAGTTGTGGACTCAGGTCTAGCAGGATTGTAGATGTTGGTATCAGATGAGATGGATCTGGACTCTAGGACATTCAATCTTGCCAGTCCTTGCCCAGGGTAGCAGATGGTACAACAGGGCTTCCAAACTAGGTAACTTCAACAGAACACAGGATATGCGACCTGGGACAATGAGGAAAATAAAGACTTACGTCCAGCACGCTGGACCCTTGGGAGGTAAGCTACAAGGACAAAGGGGTTGAACAAGAAGAGTGGAATGGCAGCCATGAAAGTTTATCAGGATGATAAGAGCTCCCCCACCTTTCACCCCTCATCTACATCCAGCCTTGTTAACCACAAGATCATCACAGATCATCACAATGCAATTAATCTTTTACCCCATTCATCCTTGCCTATAAACAAGTTGGTCAAAGGTTGTGAACCAGGAGTAGGAACCTCATGGGCAAGGGTGTAGCAGTTTACTGTGATAGCAATGCAATTAAGAGGAAGCACATGGTCTCAAGGGGTAACTTCAATCTGGTGCCCGAACTAGAGACAAACACCCAACCCATGTAAGAGCATATTGCTCCTTTCGCGGTTCCTTTAGGACTCAGGGAGACGACTCCCACCTTTGCACACAATCCTGACGTAAATACTGTTTTCCCCACATGAACAGAAAAGCGTGGAGCCAAAACCCAAATCTCCAGGAAGACAAAACCAGTTCACGTTAGTATGGCTCTTTATCATTTTTCCTTTTGTCAGTTCCCTTCTTTACTTAAGCCCTTTTCTCTTTATTCACATAGTAAACGGCACTGCTGATTTACTCAGCCTATTAATTTAAATTAGCTGAGTGCAGTCTGGAAAAAAAATGTAATTGTTCAAACGCGTACGTGTGCGTGCTCAGTCATGTCCAACTCTTTGTGACCTCAAGGACTGTAGCCTGCCAGGGTCCTCTGTCCATGGAACTTTCCAGGAAAGAAAACTGGAGTGGGTTGCCATTTCCTTCTCCAGGGGATCTTTCTGACTCAGGGATTGAACCTCAGTGTCCCCAGTCTCCTGCATTGACGGGCGGATTCTTTACCACTTTACCACCTGGGAAGTCCAGTGTAATTGTTCAATATGATCAAAAATATCTGGGACATAACTGCCAGTTGTACTGAAACAGAAGATATTTTGGCATTTAAGGCAACATCTCTAATCAACGTTATGTTTGTCCACATGTGGTAAAGACAAAATTCAATTAAAAGAAACTTTACAGGGACTTCCCTGCCCATCATAGTGATTGAGACTTTGTCTTCCAACACAAAGGGTATGGGTTTGATCCCTGGTTGGGGAGCCAAGATTCCACATGTCTGAAGGCCAAAAAAATAAAAAACATAAAACAGAAGCAATGTTGTAACAAATTTAATATCCATATGGTAGGGCAGGGGAGGGAGGTTCAAGAGGGAGGGGATATATGTATACTTGTGATTGATTCATGTTGTTTGTGGCAGAAACCAACACAACACTGTAAAGTAATAATTCTCCAATTAAAAATAAAATTTAAAAAATGGTTCTCTTTAAAAAAAGAAACTTCTGAGACCTTCAAATAATTTTTCTACACTTGAACTTTTTTAATAGACTCCCATATTCTTGGAGATTACACATTCAGTTTGCAAGGTTTTAAGATAACAAAATACACCAATGAGTGCTTGCTATGATTCTGTGTGCTAAGCACTTTCCATTATCTCACTTAATCCTTATAAAATTTATATCATACAGGTTCTGATATAACCCCGGTTTTACAGATAAGTAAAGTGAGGGTTAGAAAGATTAAGTCCCCCCCCCGAAAAAAAAAAAAGAAAGAAGATTAATTCCCTTGCTCTGGGTCATGGAGCTGGTGGGTGAAAGAGTCAAGACTTAAGCCAGAGACATCTGACTCCAGAAGTGGTCCTCCTGAATTGGTGGAGTATGCTTTCTCGTGCAGTATATTAGCAGGCAGAGTGAGCTTTAAACAGAGTATGGGAAGCGCCATGTCAAGCAGGTAAAACAAGATTAACTTTTCAAAGCCTTTTCATCTACTCTGTATCATTTCAGTATCACAACATCCTTTAGAGCACAGAGAAGATATTGATATCTCCACTGTAGACAAAGAGATAGTATGATTTTCCCAAAAGGCAAATAAGCCTCTAGCAGGGCTTTAGGGACCAAGTCAGAACTCAGGTCTCTCAGGACTTCCCTGGCAGTCCAGTGATTAAGACTTCGCCTTCCAAAGCAGAAGATGTGTGTGGGTTTTATCCTTGGTCAGGGAGCTAAGATCCCACATGCACTGCAGCTAGAAAACCAAAACGTGTGACAGAAGCAATACTGTAACACATTCAATAAGAGACTTTAAAAAATGATCCACATAAAAAAAAAAAAAACCCTTAAAAAGAAAGAATGAACTCAGGTCTCTTGACTCCTAATCTAGTGTCAGTTCTAATTTCCCTTGAAGAAGGATAAATCTATAAAATTCTATAGGAAAAGTAGTGAGAGAAATTCAAGGGAAGAAATTCAAGGGAGGAAAGGAAAGACCCACGTGCTCTGCCTTGAGTCCCACCCAGGCTCTGCGGGCCCCGAAGGGGACCTTACCACCGGGCTCCCAGCCGTTCGCCTCTGCTGTCAGGGCCTGGAGGACGCTGTGGTTCTTCAACTCTGAGATCTGTAGGGGCAGGTGACCTTTAGTGTGAGGGCGGGAGTCCACGTCCTCCTATCCACACACACACATGCTGCCCACTGTACCAAATGTTCTTGAAACTGGAGGCCATTAGAATCTGTCTTCCCAGATGCATTGGTTAAAGCCAATCTTAATGAGTCCATGCTTAGTCGCTCAGTTGTGTCTGACTCTTTGAGACCCCACAGACTGTAGCCTGCCAGGCTCCTCTGTCTGTGGAATTTTCCAGGCAAGAATACTGGAGTGGGTTGCTGTTTCCTCCTTCAAGGGATCTTCCCTACTCAGGGATTTAACCCATGTCTCCTGTATTGACAGGTGGGTTCTTTACCACTGAGCCACCAGGGAAGCCCAATCTTAATGAGAGGTACCTGGAAAATATCAACTATGAAGGAGAAGTTGGGGATATGGGGACAGTATATGCCCTCCTTGAAGAGTAAATGGATAAAAATCTACTCAATTGAGACAGTGGTGAGCTGTTGATATCCCCACTGCACTTTATATTCTGCTTTGTTACAACAATTTTCTGATTAGGCAGAGATTGCTTTGCATGTCTATTCCCATTCCTACCCCCAAAGTATGTACTATTGGAGGGCAAGGTCTGTGCCATCCTATGTCCCGGCACCTGGCACCACATAGCGGCATGATACACGAATGTCTACTGATGAGACACTGGGCTGTGGGCAGTACGTACAGAAACTTCTCTGAAAGCCAGAACAGCACTGCCATCCTTGTCAGGTGGTGGAGCGCACCCAGCAGACACACTTCCAACCTGCAAGGCAAACGAGAGTCAGTCTCTCAGACACATATCAGTCCCCCAGAGATGAAAGCTTGAACAGCACACCCTTTCCCTTAACACACACACACAATGCATTAACCTTGGAGAAGTCAACTACAGGTAATACTGTACAGACAACTCCTGTTTAACCTAGTCTGCAAAAAGCTTAATGTTAACATAATCTCATACAGATTTCATGGCCCCGTTCAAAGTCTCAGGGCTCTGAGTAAGTAAAGTTGAGTGAGGCGGTTTCCTCATGTTCTGCTCAGCCAAATCTTTCCCCTGCTGGAGCTTAAAAACTACTCAACAAACCTTTTGAAACTCATATCAAAACACATGGCTGATTTTCCTGTCTTTGGTGTTAAGTTGCTAAGTTGTGTCTGACTCTTCGCAACTCCATGGACTGTAGCCCACTAGGCTCCTCTGTCCATGGGATTTCCCAGGTAAGAATACTGGAGTGGGTTGCTATTACCTTCTCCAGGGGATCTTCCCAACCCAGGGATCAAACCCAGGTCTCCCGAATTGTAGGCAAATTCTTTACTACTGAGCCACCTGGGAAGCCCTAATGCTCTTAATGTTAAAAAAATAAAATAAAATCCTACAAGTCAGTAAGAGAGAAAAAAAAAAAGAAACCAGCAGAAAAATGGGCATGGATGTAGATGGTCTGCATAAAACAAAACACAAACAGTTCTTAAACATGTGAAGAAACACTCAACCTTACTCATAACAAGAGAAATGTCAACTAAAACCAACTAACACTACCCTTGAAATAACATTTTTCACTTAACTTGTTATCAAAGATCAAAAAGTATGGTAACACTGTGCTGGCTAGAGGACCAAGAGCTATAAGACACTGGAGAGTGAACTGTTACCCCCTCTCCAGGTAGATAATATCTGACACAATCAAGTATGCTGTGTCTATTTGGGGCCTGCAACTGCCTTTGAGGAATTTATCTAATATATATACTCATACATGTGCAAAATGCCATGCTTACAGTGTTGTTCATGGCTTTGTTTGTTTTTGTTTGTTTTGGCTGCACTGGGTCTTTGTTGCCATGCCATTTCTAGCTGTGGTTCGAGGGCTTCTCACTGCGGTGGCTTCTCTTGTTGTGGAGCATGAGCTGTAGGGCACATGGGGTCAGCTGCCCTGGTGGCATGTGGGATCTTCCTGGACCAGGGATCGAACGCACGTCCCCTGCATTGGCAGGCAGATTCTTAACCACTAGACCATGAAAGAAATCCATGGTAGCACTGTTTATAAAAGCAAAAGGCTACAAAAACTCTGAATGTCCACTGATGGACTTCTTATTTTACTTTATTTATAACCGCCCCCCCCAACCCCACCCCACCATTTCACCGAGATGTACTGACATACATCACTGTATAAGATGCACGGTGCACAGCATAATGATTGGATTTATATAGATTATGAAATGATGACCAGGATAGGTTTAGTGATCATCCATCATCATCTCTTGATACTACATCAACAAACAAAAAAATTTTTTTCCTTGTGATGAGAACTCTTAGGATTTATTCTCTTAACTTTCATTCTAACATACAGCGGTGTTACCTTTATCATGTTGTACATTATATTCCTAGTATTTATTTATCTTCTAACTGGAGGTTTGCACCTTTTCACTATTTAATCCCCCTTCCCCTATCTCTGGTAGCCACAAATCTATTTTTCTACGAGTTTGTTTTTGAGTTATAATTCACTTACAACATGATATTAGTTCCTAGTGCACAACACAGTGATTTGATATTTCTATACATTTCAAAATGATCATCATGATAAATCAAGTTGTCACTAGTGAACTAATTTTAAATAAATCAAAGCATATCTGCTTAATGAGATCCTATACAGTCATTAAAAAAAAAGAGTAAGAAAGTACTTTATAAATGATTTGTAACAGTCTTCATGATATTAATATATTAAGTGAAAAAGCAAAGGTCAGAGTATACTTTACCACTGGATTTTCTAAAAAAAACAAAAAACAAAAAAACACACATAAATATATTTGCTTGTCTTTACAGAGGCTATTTCCAGAATTACAGTCTTCAAGGAAGTACTAACTTTGCCTCAGCAGGAAAACAGGGTGGCTGGGGAACAAGAGTGGAAGATAGTTTTTTCACTATATGTACATCCTCCATACTTTTGGATTTTGAACCTTGTGCAGTATTATTTTCTCTAAGGCAGATAAAAGAAAAATAATGATAATTAAGGGAAAATAACTAATAAAGGTATCATCGCTATGTCAAGGCCCTGGAATCCCAGACTGTCCTGTTACTCTAATCCTGCTTTACATATTTTTGCCAACTAACACTCCTTAGACACGACTTTGAGTTTTTAACTTCTTTTTGCCTTCATTTTTGCCAGAAGAATGAACCCATAAACACACCACAGCACAGCTACTCCTCCACAACTGGCCTCCTGATGTCTAAGCACCATTATTGCCCACTTAGCTAAAGTGAACACACTTGCTGCAATTCCTCTCACCTCCAGCCCTTGGGTCATGTGGTCTTGCCCCCACCTCCACCTTCTCAGTGTTTTCTGGGCCCTTCAAGATCAGTTCCATCTCCTCAGGGTAGCTGAGCTACAATGGTTTCCTGCAGTTACAATGGTTTCCTCACATCTCTAAGTCCCATAGCCCCTCTGTATGTGGCACAAGGTCCTCTGCAAAAGACCTGTCTCCCCAGTCAGACTCTTCTGGTATATTTGTTTTATATTTCTCAGACCATCTGCACAGCACTAGGCTTAAGATGGGCTTCTCTGGTGGCTCAGACGGTAAAGAATCCACCTGCAATGCAGGTGACCCGGATTCGATCCCTCGGTCAGGAAGATCCCCTGGAGAAGGGGATGGCTACCTACTCCAGTATTCTTGCCTGGGAAATTCTATGGACAGAGGAGCCTGGCAGACTACAGTCCATGGGGTCACAGAGAGTCAGACATGCTCACAGGCTCAAGATACATTCTCAATAATATCTGGTGATTCACCATGCTGCACAACTCCCTTGAGGAGACTGTGTGCTCAGGACTCATTGCATCTTTCTCTTCCTCTAGTGCCCAAAGATAAATGCTCTCTGGAAGAACAGTTCACCTGTCTTAGGACAGTGAAGAAAACCTCCCTGGACTCCCAAAGCACAGGCTTTGTCCCCATTCTGCCCACTGAATCCAAAGGCTCCATTTAAGACCATTTCTGGGCAAGGTAGGGAGAAAGATGGGGAATACAGGGTAAGCTGCCAGGCTCACACAGAGACATAACACATGGAACCAGGGATCCTGAGGATAAACAGGTCAAAATGGGCGTTTGAGAGAGAAAGGGCCAGTACACAACCCAAACTGATTGAAATACCTATTTCCTGGGAGATTCTAATTGAAACTTTCCTCCCACCCAAGCAAATCCAAACCCAAATCCTATAACCTACTCTGAAAGCAAGCCGTCAGGAAAGGCAATTGACCCAGAAGTGACTAGGAACTTCTTCTAAAAGAACAAGAGAACTGTAAAGAGAATTTTTCCTACACATTTCTAAAGGTCCACACCCTCTTGATATATGCTCTCTCTTATTATTATTAACAATACATCCCATACCAACACCTTCTTTCCCAAACAGATATACTTGCTTACCTGTCCATCTCTTAATTCTTTCTCGTGGAAAGAGTGAGAGTTTTCATTCATGACTCAAACTCATTTGTTCAAGTGACTGTTGTCCTTGGGCTCAGAAAGGAGTTTAACAAGGTCTGAGATTAGAAGCTATGGGGAGAGCCTGGGATTTGACTGTTCTACCGTTGCCCTCCTTCTTGGCAGTCGTTCAGACTAAGAACAAGAAAACAGTCCCTGTGTGTCATCACCAGGGTGGAGGTTTCTGTGAGTCCTGAAAGAAGTCCTTGAGGACTCACTCTGGAGCCTCAGCCCTGAAAAAAAAATCAAAGAAGAAAACTAGTTTCATCATTCAGTTATGCCTCTGACTTGAAAAATCTTCAAGCAGGTACTTCCCTGGTGGTCCAGTGGTTGGGACTCTGCTCTTCAAATGCAGGAGGCACTGGTTTGAACCCTGGTTAGGGAACTAAGGTCCCACATGCCACAATCTGTGGCCAAATAAATAAAAATAAATAAAACAATTATGGGATTTTAAATCATTAAAAAAAAGTCTTCAAGCAGATGTAAACATATTCTGAATAAGCAGGCTGCCTTAGCGAATGCCTGTCTCTTACTACCCATGTAATGGAACAGAGAGAAGGGGTCCCTGCAGGAGTCTAACGGCTGGATTCTCAGTGTCCAGAAGGTAGCACCATTGTAAGTGGTGGGGATCTGTTTTTCTATCTGCTTTTTCAATTTATTCTTAATTGGTGGATAACTGATTTACAGGGATCTGTTTTTGACAATGAAGTTACTGAAATCTGGGGCAATATCTAAAAGTGAAAGTGTTAGTCCCTCAGTCTTGTCCATCCCTTTGTGACCCCAGGGGCTGTAGCTTGTAGCTTCCTTTGTCCATGAAATTCTCCAGGCAAGAATACTGAAGTGGGTAGCTATTCCTTCCTCCAGGGGATCTTCCAGACCCAGGGATCAAACCCAGGTCTCCTGAATTGCAGGCAGATTCTTTACTGTCAGAGCCACCAGGAAAGTCCACGTGTTTCAAAAGGGTGAGGATAATTTAGGGTGACACATTGGTGGGTGGTCTTAGCTGAACTGTTCAAGCTTTACTCAGGTCTCAGACCTGGCTGGGCCTAATACTCAATTCAGTTCCTATGACGGTATTAACAGAAACTCAAAATGCAATACAGTGCCACCCCCTCCTCGTGAGCACCAGTACTGTACATGTGGCTGCTTCCTGGCCAGTGAAGCTAACTCTAAGTATTTCCTCCCATAAGTCCACCTCAGGAAGTGAGTTGGGCAGGCCCACACCTCACCATGGGAGAACTGGACATCATAAGTGCCTGTCACAATAAGAACCTGGGTAAGTGGGTAGGTGACAGATAGTCATACCTCACAGACTTGGTTTACCTTTTTTTTGGCTGCACTGTGTGACTTGCAGGATCTTAATTCCCCAACCAGGGATCGAACCCTGGCTCTCTGCAGTGAAAGCACGGAGTCCTAACCAGTGGACCACCAGGGAATTCCTCAGTTGACTAAGAAAAGCTGACTAAGAAAGAAAGGTGGCATTGCTTTGGGGTCAGCTCTTCAGAGAACACAATCTGGGTTCCCTACAAACTGGAGGCCAGTAACAAGATGGATTCTGTCAGGGAGCTGGACGCACTGACTGTTCCTAACACCAAGAGCCAGAATACCTCATGATTGCTGGACTGGACACGTGGCTTACTGTAACAGGGGGAGGACAGTGTCCCGCAGTTATAGCAGCTCAGGAACCAACTCTCTCCGTGTCCTCTGGCGCCTTAGCATCTGCCTCCCTTTCCACTCCTTCCCCCTTGACCTTCTCAAGGGTTCTGCATATGACAAAACACGCACACATCTACCAACCTTGGGAAGATGATTGGCAGGTATGGCTACCACAAGCTCAGAGAGGCTCTTCTATTACTGGGCTTGAATTGAATCCAGCAGTGCTGAATCATAACCAGCTTTACACACCTGCTAGTGCCTCAGTTCTGGCTGGAGTCCTGCTGGGGACTCCAAGAGGGACATTCACGATCTGTATTAGAGAAAGAAATGAGCAGAAACTGTCAAACGAGCAAATACTAGAAGTTATAACATCACTCCTAACAATATTAGAGAAGTTCCTTAATGGCTTTCCTATAAAGATGGATCCTTTTGAAATTCAGTATTTATGGTGCACCCATTGTATTTTGTTAATTTTTTTGTGTGTATTTTGTTAATTAAAAATTAAAAAAAATTGAAGTAGTGGCTACCCTGGTGGTCCAGTGGCTAAGACTCCACGCTCCCAATGCAGCTGGCTTGGGTTCAGTCATTAGCCAGCGAACTAGATCTCACATGCTGCAACTAATGAACCTGCATGTGGCAACTAAGACCTGGCACAGCCAAATAAATAAATAATTTTTAAAAATCGAAATACAGTTGATTTAGAATGTGTTATTTTCCGGTATATAGCAAAGTGATTCAGATATATAACACATATATGGCCTTCCCGGGTAGCACTAATGGTAAAGAATCTGCCTGCCAATGCAGGAGATGGAAAAGGCACCGGTTTGATCCTGTGGGTGGGGAAGAGCCACTGGCGCAGGAAATGGCAACCTGCTCCAGAATTCTTGCCTGGAAAATTCCATGGACAGAAGAACCTGGCAGGCTACAGTCTATGGGGTCGCAAAGAGTCGGACACAACTGAGCCTATCTACCTATCTATCTACAAAACTGAATACATTCTTTTTCCGATTCCTTTCCATTACAGATTATTCAGTTCAGTTCAGTTGCTCAATGGTGTCCGGCTCTTTGCGACCCCATGGACTGCAGCATGCCAGGCTTCCCTGTCCATCATCAAATCCCAGAGCTTACTCAAACTCACGTCCATAGTGTCGGTGATGCCATCTAACCATCTCATCCTCTGTTAGTACAAGATACTAAATATAGCTCCCTGTGCTATACAGTAGATCCTTGTTAATTTTTATGGTGCACCCACTTTAGGAAAGGAGCTACATTAAAGCGAATGATTTTAAGTTTAAGCTTGCTGGGGCTTAAACGCTAAATGGGTATTTAATATGGAAATTGGGGCCACATCTTAAGTATAAATGCACACAAAGGTAGGATAGTCCTTTCATCGGCCTTGGCGCTGGGCGCTCCCCGCCCCCTCCAGCCCCTACGACCCCGGCCGTAGGCGTCGCCATCCCAGGGCGCCCGGGCCAAAAACTTATTGACCAGTTTGAGGGTCCCAGAATCCGGTGCTCGTCGGCTGCGATGCGCGGATCTCAAGGGAGATCTCAATCCAGCGAGACACCCAGCCAGACAGGGGCTGCGTGGGGACTCTGACCAGAAACTTTCTCAACTGTTCGGCGGGGAAAACAGGAAAGTAACTTGCTACCGGTCATCCAGCGAGTCCGCGGCAGAGCGCAGACCACAACCCAGGTCTCCTGTCTGCCAGGATCGGGAGTCTCTCTCGGTCCTACAGCTCTCAGCCTTGTCTCGCCCCAGGGCGACCATTTCCGCCCCACATTCCTCCTCCTCTGACCCCCGCCCGGGGATCGCCGGCCGAGTCCCCGAGTTCCCAGTTCTTTGCTATTGGGGTCTCGCAGCCCCTCCAGGCCTCCTCTGCGCAGGAGCACTGCCCTCCGCGCCGCAGACGAAGCGAGTACGGGGAGCCGCGAGGGTCAATCTCCGCGGGCGACTTCGCTTCTCCGCGTGCAGATCAGTGGGCATGGTTGACTCCGCCTTTCTGGTGGGAGGACTAGTATAACTGCCAGAGCTGAGGCCCCGATCCCAGGCGCCGTCCAAGCGAAAGAGTTCCCGGTACCCGGCGCCGGCGCGATGTGGGTGTCGCTGCTGCTACTGGCTGCGCTGCTGCTGGTCATCCTCAGCAAAGTTTACAAGGGGCTGTTCTCAGGCAGCTCCCCGAACCCCTTCTTGGAGGATGTCAAACGGCCACCCGCACCTCTGGTGACCGACAAGGAGGCCAGGAAGAAGGTTCTCAAGCAAGGTGAGCGGGGGAGACACCCCGGGGACCTAGGCTGCGCCCGAGCATCCTCACGGGTTAGCGTTTCCCAGATGCAAAGTGCTGGGAGGGCATCTTTGCATGCGTAGGCGCCCGCTCTAGAATCCACTCCTGGCTAGAGCCTTGGTCCCCGCAGGCCCGGGGAATCTTGGCCTCTGGGTCTCGGGCATCGTCCTCGGCGAGCCGAGTTCTTGTCATAGCCACGCTCAGACCCTGCCACTTGGTATACCGATGGCTAACGGTTTAAACAAGAAGAGATCTTTCCGCCTCTTTGACTTTAAGACCGTAACATTTTCACTTATCTTCCCCAGGGGTTCAAGGGCGTGGGAGAGCTGCACAGAAACCTTTGTAGGAAATTGCATTTGGTTCATCAAGGAATGTGACTGATTGATTATGCTGGTCCCATCTCTTGTGGTTGAAGCGAGGCTCAGGGGGGTGCCTTGGGCTCAGAGCTCTTTGTTTACGGAGGATCTGTACAGTCATCTTTTAAAAAGTATTTGTGGGTTTCTTTTAGAGTTTAAAGAAAGAGTTCCGCTGCTTAAAAATAAATAAAATAAAGCCAGTATTGTTGTAAGTGGAAGGCCTATTATTTCTGAAATCAGAGGTTTAACTGGACTCTGTCACTGTCTCTGCCGGAGAGTCAAACAGGACTGAGCAACTGAACAACAAACAACACTTATTTACTCTGTGAAAAAAAATGAAAGTAAAAGTGTTAGTCACTATCCGACCCTACGCGACCCCATGAACCGTAGCCCTCCAGGCTCCTCTGTCCGTGGCGTTTTCCAGGCAAGAATACTGGAGTGGGTTGCCATTTCCTTCTCCAGGAGACCTTCTCCACCTAGGGATCAAACCCCAGCCTCCCACACTGCAGGCACTTTCTCTACAGTCTGAGCCACCAGGGAAGCCTGATTTACTGTGTGAACATTAACAAATCACTCCATTTATCTGGATTGGTCTAAAGATGAGATGATTAGTTTATTTTTCAAACCAAGTTTTGATCTCTCCTAGTGGGTCATGATATCAATTTAGTGAGTTGCAACTAGCATTTTAAAATTCAGTCGAATGGAAAACATCAGTGTAGCCTATACAGTTCTGGTAAGTATTGTGAAACTTCTTTATATTATATACTGATGTATGTTCTGGATTATGAAATGTATTTTTCACTGTAGGTCTTTTAAAAAATGTTTGAAAAGTTCAAAGTTTACCGAGTTCTCTGGCAGCTTGAAAAATTCCAAAGCTCAGTTCTTCTGCAGTGATCTTGAAAGAATAGATCTTGTGGAGAAAGTGCCCATACGGCACCATGGGCTGTCCAGTTTTGTCTTGTTTAGGTGCCTCCTCCTTAATCCCACATCCAAGCTTCCCCAGTGTGAAGGGGTGGTGCTGTGATTTCTCAGAAGAGCTCTGTCCTGCCTCTGTATCAAAATCTTTAAGAACCAAGATCTGAGTGGGCTGCACCACTACTGCCTGCTGATCCTGCATTTTCTGAAGATAATCTGCTTGTGAATGGACTGTTGGATGAGCCACCATCCAGCCCCACGACACTCTTCTCCTGTCTCCCACCTCCTTGTTTTCTTTCTTCCCTAGCTCGGTCTCTGACTGTGCTTAGGATTCTCCACTTGGATCACGGTCAGCATTTGTGTGTGTGTGTGTGATAGTTTATGAATTATTCTTTCTTTGCAAGTAGGGAAAATCCTCAGCTATGTAGTGGTTTTGGTCTGAATCAGTTCAGATCAACCTAAATCACTTTGTTCAACCTTCTCCGGTGGGTCCTGAATATTTCCCAGGTAAAATGTTTGAGATATTTTAGTGAGGAGCCCTGTGCCAAACTGCTCTAGAAATTTTCTGGAGCATCATATAAGCTAGAACATTTTGCCTTGGTTTCCACCTCATTGTCCTTTCATTGCCCTCTCCATCTCCTCCTTTTCTGCAGCTTTTTCAGTCAGCCGAGTGCCAGAGAAGCTGGATGTGGTGGTGATTGGCAGTGGCTTTGGGGGCTTGGCGGCAGCTGCAATCCTAGCCAAAACTGGCAAGCGAGTTCTCGTTCTGGAACAACATACCAAGGCAGGAGGCTGTTGTCATACCTTTGGAAAGAATGGCCTTGAATTTGACACGGGTAAGGCTGCCAAGGCAAAGGGGTGGGAGCAGGAGGTTTGGAGCAGCCATAGTGGGACGATCCTGGGCTTTTCAGTGGTTTTGAAGGCCTGGGTTTTCTTCTCCCCGGGCACTGTTGGTCTGACAGCTTTCCTGCCCAAATTCCTTTTGAAAAATTCCAGTCTGATCTTAGATGAAGGGAAAAGGGGTTAGAGACACACCACATGTATCTCCATGGTTTGATAGCTGTACCTGCTGACCTGGGCGGGGATCTGGTGTTCTGCTGCAACTCCCCTTTACAGAAAGGGTGGGTGCCCCCTCTGTGAGTGTGGACTTGGCCCTGTAGGACGCCTCTTTCACCTTGCTTCCTTGTTGGAGCCTTTCCAGGGCTTAATTCCCTTATCCCTATCATGCCTTGTTTTTCTGTCTCTCAACAGGAATCCATTATGTCGGGCGTATGCAGGAAGGCAGCTCTGAGCGTTTTATCTTGGACCAGATCACTGAGGGGCAGCTAGACTGGGTTGCCTTGTCCTCTCCCTTTGACACCATGGTACTAGAAGGGCCTGATGGCCGAAAAGAGTTTCCCATGTACGCGGGGAGGAAAGCCTACATTCAGGGCCTCAAGGACAAGTTTCCCCAGGAAGAAGCTGCCATTGACAAGTATATGAAGCTAGTTAAGGTAACATGGACATGTGTTATTCCCAGCAAGGCTCACCTTCCTCATTAGTGGAGTGACGGGTGAGGGAGGCAGGAAGGAGGAACAGACATGTTTGTCTGGAACTCAGCTCCGGTCTGAGGTGACCTCTGTGCTCAGCCAGGCCCTCTCTCTGGAGCCTGGGCTCAGCAGCTGCCACTCACACTCTGGCCTGACCAGACTGGCTTCCATGTGATTACATCTCTAACCCCTTTTCACTTCATCTGAGACCAGATTGGAATTTTTCAAAAGGAATTTGGGCAGGAAACTGGAAAGCAAAAAAGGACTCATCTGAGGGGGAGAATGGGAAAGAAAAGAAAAAAAAAACTTAGAGTACAGAGTTTTATGATCCAAATTTAGCCAAGTTCTGCTTCCCTGATAGCTCAGAATCCAGTCCAGGAGACCGCCTGCAATGCAGGAGATGCAGGTTGGATCCCTGACTTGGGAAGATCCCCTGGAGAAGGAAATAGCAACCCACTCCAGTATTCTTGCTTGGAGAATCCCCATGGACAGAGGAGCCTGACGGGCTATAATTCATAGCGTGGAAAAAGTCGAACATGACTCAGTGGCTAAACCACCACCACCAAGTGCTGTTGGTCCCTTGGACTGTGCAGGCTGTTGGACAGGCAATTCTGTCACAGCGGGTCTGGAGGTGAGCCCTGTTCCTCCGTGCTTACTCCCCTCCCAGGTGGTAACCCGTGGAGTCACTCATGGTATCCTGCTGAAGATCCTCCCGCTGCCCGTGGCTCAGCTCCTCACCAAGTATGGGCTGCTCACCCGCTTCTCTCCGTTCCTTCGTGCGTCCACCCAGAGCCTGGCTGAGGTCTTGCGGCAGCTCCCCGCCTCTCCAGAGCTCCAGGCCGTGCTCAGCTACATCTTCCCCACTTACGGTGGGTCCTGGCCTTGGGCCCTGGGCAGCCCCTGGCTCTTAGTCTTTCTTCCTGAGCCTGGTTTATTCAGTCGCTCAGTCATGTCCGACTCTTTGCGACCCCATAGACTGCAGCACGCCAGGCTTCTATGTCCTTCACTACCTCCTGGAGTTTGCTCAAATTCGTGTGCATTGAGTCAGTGATGCCATCCAACTATCTTATGCGCTGTCACCCCCTTCTCCTGCCTTTAATCTTTCCGAGCATCAGGGTCTTTTCCAATGAGTTGGCTTTTTGCATCAGGTGGCTAAAGTATTAGAGCTTCAGCTTCAGCATCAGTCCTTCCAATGAATATTCAGGACTGATTTCCTTTAGGATTGACTTGTTTCATCTCCTTGCTGTCCAAGGGACTCTCTAGAGTCTTCTCCAGCATCACAGTTCAAAAGCATCAATTCTTTGACTCTGAGCCTGCCTAGCTGACTGAAGTGGAGCTGCACACACTCCAGGTCCTCTGGAGCTTAGGGAAGATATGCCTGTCTTCCTCCCTGCTGGATACCCTGATAAAAATCCCCCTCATCAACGTCCTGGATGGTTTTCTTTCCAGTCCACCCTCTCCTCCCTGACAGCATGGCAGTTTGCAGGGAGGTCATTCCTACTGGCCCAAGACCTGGAACGCTCCCTGTTTGCCTGTTTGGATAGAAAGAGGCTGCCCTAAGAATCACTTGGATCCTGGGAGGCATAGACTCAGGTTGCATGTTTTTTTTTTTTGGTCACACTATGCAGCTTGCAGGATCTTAGTTCTCCAACCAGGCATTGAACCCAGGCCCCTCGCAATAGGGAAAGCACCTAGACTTAACCACTGGACCACCAGGGAGTTCCCAAAGGCTGCATGTTTTCTGACAGGAACCTGTGTTCCTTTTTTAAATTTATTTTTTCATTGGAAGAAAATTACTTTACAATATTGTGTTGGTTTATGCTGTCCAGCAATGTGAATCAGCCATAATTATACATGTATCTCTTTCCTCTTGAGCCTCCTTCCCCTCCCCCGACCCCATCCCTCCCATGTTCTGCTCTGGAATAGTGTTGCTGCCTGCTCTTACCTCATCACCCCCTCCTTCCTTCTGCAGGTGTGACCCCCAGCCACACCACCTTTTCCATGCATGCTCTGCTGGTTGACCACTTCTTAAAAGGGGCCTTTTATCCCCGAGGGGGCTCCAGTGAGATTGCCTTCCACACCATCCCTGTGATTCAGCGGGCCGGGGGCGCTGTCCTCACAAGGGCCCCTGTGCACAGCATCCTGCTCGACTCAGCTGGGAAAGCCTGTGGTGAGAGCCCTGCCGTCTTCACAGTCCTTGGCGAGAGTGGGAGAGACGGGGCGGCGCGGGGGGGGGGGGGGGGGGAGGTGGTGGTGAAAAGAAGGCTCCAAGGGCAGAGACCTCCAGATCGGGGGTTACAGTCTGGAATCTGTCACAAGCTGGGGCTGCCTGGGAATAGCCGTTGACCTGGTCAGGAAGTGAAACGGACACAGGAAAGATAAAGGGTGGTATGGTCCCCAGAGAACAGTATGTCATCATTTATTCAATAGAGACAAGTAGTTATCCTTTAATCCATGAGTTCCTTGAGTGTAGAGGCGGTGTCTTTTTTACCTTTATGTCTATAGACCTTAGTGCATACTGGAGCCCAGTAAATGTTTGTTCAGTGACTGATGGAGTGAGTTGTAACCTGGGTGCTCCATAGGGTGGTGTGGAGGCCGCCAGGATGCCCTGTAAATGGCAGAGTGGGGCTCAGACTCTACCCTGGCTCAGGTGTTTGCTGTCACCTGCGCAGAGAGTCAAAATTCCACCAAGGATAAACTCTGCGAGGAGAGGGTCTATGCAGGGAAGGGCTCTGGTAAATAGACAGGCCATCAAGGATAACTTCAGAAGCCTCAGTGAAGGGAGAAAAGAGAGGCCTGAAGGAAACAGGGCTGGTGTGATGGTGAATTCACCCGAGTAAGCTTTCAAGGAGGAGGTGGTGAGTGGGTGGCCCAAGGCACCCAAAAGTCAAGGGAGAAAAGGCCATCAGTGATCTTTGAGGACCTATCTGTAGAAGAGACTGGAAAGTTCCCAGCAATGAGGCAGGGGTGGCCATCAGCTGTGCAAGACTTTCTCTCACAGTCACAAACCAGTTTTCCTTCCAGCCGTCAGGCGGTCTGTGAACCAAGGAGGGTTTATCAGTTGAATGAAATTCAGTTCTGGATATATTTATGTTTTTCACATGCTATGTGATAAAAGATGGAAGTAAAAGATAAGTAAATCCTAATCTCTAACTCAGGAAGTTTCCAGTCTCGGAGGGCAGATGACTGAGATATAATCAAGGTGCCACATGGAGGCACGCACTGAGGCTGGAGTTGGCACAGGATGGTGGGACAGGGAGTCTCCAGAGGGAGGTCGTGATGGGTGAGAGGAAGCTGGTCAGAGGGGAGAGGAGGTCATTCCAGGCAGGGGGAACAGAATGTGCAGAGGCACAGAGATAAGAAAGAGCTGAGTTTCTTTTTTCTCTCTTTTGGCTGCACTGGGTCTCAGTTGCAGCACATGGAATCTTTGGTCTTCTTTGTGTCATGTGAACTCTTAGCTGTGGCATGTGGGATCTAGTTCCCTGATCAGGGATCAAAGCTGGGCCCCCTTCATTGGCAGCTCAGTGTCTTAGCCACGGGACCACCAGAGAAGTCCCATGAGCTGAATATGTTTAGGCATCTGAAAATGTTAGGTTGAATCATAAGAGACTGTCACATTTCTAGGTTAAAAAAATGATTGACTGTCAGCTCTTGGGGGCTTCCCAGATGACACAGTTGGTAAAGAATCCATCTGCAATGCAGGAGCTGCAGGAGATGTATGTTTGATCCCTGGGTCAGAAAGATCCTCAGAGAAGGAAATGGCAACCCACTCCAGTATTCTTGCCTGGGAAATCCCATGGACAGAGGAGCCTGGCAGGCTACAGTCCATGGGGTTGCAAAGAGTCAGACACAATTGAGCATGATTGCACACACATGCTATTTGCATATCAGGTCAGTTCAGTTTAGTCGCTCAGTCATGTCCAACTCTGCAACCCCATGAATCGCAGCACACCAGGCCCCCCTGTCCATCACCGACTCCCAGAGTTTACTCAAACTCATGTCCATTGAGTTGGTGATGCCTTCCAGCCATCTCATCCTCTGTCATCCCCTTCTCCTCCTGCCCCCAACCCCTCCCAGCATCAGGGTCTTTTCCAATGAGTCAACTCTTCTCATGAGGTGGCCAAAGTATTGGAATTTCAGCTTCAGCATCAGTCCTTCCAATGAACACCCAGGACTGATCTTCTTTAGGATGGACTGGTTGGATCTCCTTGCAGTCCAAGGGACTCTCAAGAGTCTTCTCCAACACCACAATTCAAAAGCATCAATTTTTCGGCACTCAGCTTTCTTCACAGTCCAACTCTCACATCCATACATGACCACTGGAAAAACCATAGCCTTGACTAGACAGACCTTTGTTGGCAAAGTAATGTCTCTGCTTTTTTTTTTTTTTAATAATATTTGTTTTTATTTATTTCTTTGACTGTGTTGGGTCTTAGTTGCAGCATGTGGGATCTACTTCCCTGACCAGGGATCGAACCCTGGGCCCCCTGCACTGGGAGCATGGAGCCTTAGCCACTGGACCACCAGGGAAGTCCCCTCTCTGCTTTTTAATATGCTATTTAGGTTGGTTATAACTTTCCTTCCAAGGAATAAGCATCTTTTAATTTCATGGCTGCAATCACCATCTAGTGATTTTGGAGCCCCAAAAAATAAAGTCTGACACTGCTTCCACTGTTTCCTCATCTATTTCCCATGAAGTGATGGGACCAGATGCCATGATCTTAGTTTTCTGAATGTTGAGTTTTAAGCCAACTTTTTCACTCTCCTGTTTCACTTTCATCAAGAGGCTTTTTAGTTCCTCTTCACTTTCTGCCATAAGGGTGGTGTCATCTGCATATCTAAGGTTATTGATGTTTCTCCCAGTAATCTTGATTCCAGCTTGTGATTCTTCCAGCCCAGCGTTTCTCATGATGTACTCTGCATATAAGTTAAATAAGCAGGGTGACAATATACAGCCTTGATGTACTCCTTTTCCTATTTGGAACCAGTTTGTTGTTCCATGTCCAGTTCTAACTGTTGTTTCCTGACCTGCATACAGGTTTCTCAAGAGGTGGGTCAGGTGGTCTGGTATTCCCATCTCTTTCAGAATTTTCCACAGTTTATTGTTATCCACACAGTCAAAGGCTTTGACATAGTCAATAAAGCAGAAATAGATGTTTTCCTGGAACTCTCTTGCTTTTTCGATGATCCAGCAGATATTGCAATTTGATCTCTGGTTCCTCTGCCTTTTCTAAATCCAGCTTGAACATCTGGAAGTTCATGGTTCATGTATTGCTAAAGCCTGGCTTGGAGAATTTTGAGCATTACTTTGCTAGTGTGTGAGATGAGTGCAATTGTGCGGTAGTTTGAGCATTCTTTGGGATTGTAACGAAAACTGACCTTTTCCAGGCCTGTGACCATTGCTGAGTTTTCCAAATTTGCTGGCATATTGAGTGCAGCACTTTCACAGCATCATCTTTCAGGATTTGAAATAGCTCAACTGGAATTCCATCACCTCCACTAGCTTTGTTCGTAGTGACGCTTTCTAAGGCCCACTTGACTTCACATTCCAGGATGTCTGGCTCTAGGTGAGTGATCACACCATCGTGATTATCTGGGTCGTGAAGATCTTTTTTTGTACAGTCCTTCTGTGTATTCTTGCCATCTCTTCTTAATATCTTCTGCTTCTGCTAGGTCCATAACATTTCTGTCCTTTATTGAGCCCATCTTTGCATGAAGTGTTCCCTTGGTATCTCTAATTTTCTTGAAGAGATCTCTAGTCTTTCCCATTCTATTGTTTTCCTCTATTCTAATGGGTATATCTTTCCTTTTCTGCCTTGCTTTTCACTTCTCTTCTTTTCACAGCTATTTGTAAGGCCTCCTCAGATAGCCATTTTGCTTTTTTGCATTTCTTTTTCTTGGGGATGATTCTTGTCTCCTGTATAATGTCACATATCTCCGTCCATAGTTCATCTGGCACTCTGTCTATCAGATCTAGTCCCTTAAATCTATTTCTCACTTCCACTGTATAGTCATAAGGGATTTGGTTTAGGTCATACCTGAATGGTCTAATGGTTTTCCCTACTTTCTTCAATTTAAGTCTGAATTTGGCAATAAGGAGTTCATGATCTGAGCTACAGTCAGTTCCCAGTCTTGTTTTTGCTGACTGTATAGAGCTTCATCTTTCGCTGCAAAGAATATAATTAATCTGATTTCAGTGTTGACCATCTGGTGATGCCCATGTGTAGAGTCTTTTGTGTTGTTGGAAGAGGGTGTTTGCTATGACCAGTGTGTTCTCTTGGCAGAACTCTATTAGCCTTTGCCCTGCTTCATTCTGTACTCCAAGGCCAAATTCGCCTGTTACTCCAGGTGTTTCTTGACTTCCTATTTTTGCATTCCAGTCCCCTATAATGAAAGGGATATCTTTTTTGGGTGTTAGTTCTAAAAGGTCTTGTAGGTCTTCATAGAACCATTCAACTTTAGCTTCTTCAGTGTTACTGGTTGGGGCATAGGCTTGGATTACCGTGATATTGAATGGTTTGCCTTGGAAACGAACAGAGATCATTTTGTCATTTTTGAGATTGCATCCAAGTACTGCATTTCGGACTCTTTTGTTGACTGTGATGGCTACTCCATTTCTTCTAAGGGATTCCTGCCCACAGTAGTAGATATAATGGTCATCTGAGTTAAATTCACCCATTCCAGTCCATTTTAGTTCACTGATTCCTAGAATGTCGACGTTCACTCTTGCCATCTCCTGTTTGACCACTTCCAATTTGCCTTGATTCATGGACCTAACATTCCAGGTTCCTATGCAATATTGCTCTTTACAGCATCGGACCTTGCTTCTATCACCAGTCCCATCCACAGCTGGGTGTTGTTTTTGCTTTGGCTCCATCCCTTCATTCTTTCTGGAGTTATTTCTCCACTGATCTCCAGTAGCCTATTGGGCACCTACCGACCTGGGGAGTTCCTCTTTCAGTATCCTATCATTTTGCCTTTTCATACTGTTCATGGCACTCTCAAGGCAAGAATACTGAAGTGGTTTGCCATTCCCTTCTCCAGTGGACCACATTCTGTCAGACCTCTCCACCATGACCCGTCCATCCTGGGTGGCCCCACACGGCATGGCTTAGTTTCATTGAGTTAGACAAGGCTGTGGTCCTGCGATCAGATTGGCTGGTTTTCTGGGATTATGGTTTCAGTGTGTCTGCCCTCTGATGCCCTCTCACAGCACCTGTCATCTTACTTGGGTTTGTCTTACCTTGGACGTGGGGCATCTCTTCACGGCTGCTCCAGCAAAGCGCAGCTGCTGCTCCTTACCTTGGATGAGGAGTATCTCCTCACGGCCGCCCCTCCTGACCTTGAACATGGAATAGCTCCTCTCGGCCCTCCTGTGCCTGTGCAGCCGCCACTCCTTGGACGTGGGGTAGCTCCTCTCAGCCACTGCCCCTGGCCAGTCCTATCTAATAGTTTGGTGAAAACGGTCAGACAGTCAGAGATGAGGCTGGATGCACAGAAGGGAGCACATCACAGAAGGCTGATACGAGAGTCTAGAGTTTAATTGGAAGTTGAGGTGTCACTGGAGGGTTTAAAAGAGAGTGTGTTGGAACCAAAAACTCTGGCAACAGTAAAGAAGGACCTGGCATTCTAATGAAGGCTGTCAGCTCACAGGCTCTGTCTGAGTTAGTGTGGAGGTTGGCTGGTAGCTAAAGAGAAGAGCTCCCATATTAGGTAGAGAGAGAGCTAGAAAGCCAGTGTGGGGACTGTGGACCTTTTGGGCCTTGTAGGCAGTGCTTTGGGCTGATCCCTCACTCTGCAGTTTTAGCTGGGGCCCACCTGCCTGGGTCAGTGTGGGAGAGATGGGGGTGGGGTAAGAATGGGGGCCTTTCTTGTCTTGGAGTGCACAGAACCTCAGCCAAGCTCTTGTGCCTGTAGGTGTCACTGTGAAGAAGGGTGAGGACCTGGTGAACATCTATTGCCCCATCGTGATCTCCGATGCGGGACTGTTCAACACCTATGAGCGGTTGTTGCCAGAGCAGGCCCGCTGTCTGCCAGGTAAACGAATGAGTTGCGTGACTCTCCTCCAAGTGCCCTGGACCTGCCCTCTGCTTCCAGCTGACTCAGCCTGGCTGATGCTTCCCTCAGCATCAGGGCTGCCCTTTGACCCTCCTTAGGCAGAAAAGGTGAGCACACCAATTTCTATTAATAACATCCATCCCCAGCAGGCCTCTGTTTAGGGGGTGGGATCAACTTCCTTTGTACTGTATCCTCCCCAAGGACCCTTTAGTTTTTGTCTCTCATTTCATCCTTGGCAAATTTACACCCCTTCCCCTTTAACCTCAACCACATTTCCCTTTCCTCTTTCAAGTTTCCAGTCCCAATTGCCCATTTCCGGTTTCCCTTGACCTTAGATCATCTCCCTGATAGTTAATGATGGTGGATTGAGTCTTAAAGGAATGTTTCCTGGGTTTTTCATTAAGTTTGCCCTGTGAATTCTGCTTCTTTCCTTAATTTTGCACTTGTTTGGTGTGGCGAAGTCTGGCCTGACATTGCTGTTAAGGGAAGGGAAGGCTGGAGTGGAGACAAAGGTCTTGATATCATTGCTGTGGGCCTTATTTGGGACCTAAGGTTATATTTTCCTGCCTCTGCAGGAACCAGCTTTGTATTGGTGCTGAGGCTGCAGGGGTACCCTCCTGGCTTCTTCTGAAGCCCTGCTCTCAAAACCTGGGACCCAGATAGAAATAAGCTTCAGTCCAGTTATCTCTGGGTTTCCCAGGTGGCTCAGTGGTAAAGAACCCATTTGCCAGTAAAGAAGATTCAGGAGACTCGGGTTCAATCCCTGGGTGGTGAAGATCTCCTGGAGGAGGAAATGACAAGCCACTCCAGTATTCTTGGTGGGATAATCCCATGGACAGAGGAGCATGGTGGGCTACAGTCCATGGGTTTGCCAAGAGTTGGACATGATGGAGCACATACACACATGCCAGTCATCTCCACTGACAGGCTGTGTCCAAAAATGAAAGCTTGTGGTTTTGGGTGGGGAGGCATGTTTGTGTGCAAGCTTTACCTTTGTCCTTGCATTTGATCCTCAGCTGCTGGGTAGAGAGCTCATGTTGATGGCAGGGGAAATGGAGGCACACAGGTGAATCGCTGCCCAAGGTCCACCCAACTGGAGGCAGCCAAGTGGAGAGGAAGAGGCTGATGTTTCTGACTCCTAAGCCTGGACTCCTGGTCCCCTCTGGGCTGGGAAACATGGCTTCCAGCGAGAAGGCCTTAGTAGAAGAAGGAGGAGAGCGGATCAGCTCACAAGGGACAGAGTGGCTGAGCCAAGGTTAGCTGGGGCGTCACCATTTGGAAATGGAGCTGGCAGCTCCCCATGTGATTGAGGGAAGGAGGCCACTGGCCAGGAGGGGGCCAGCGATCTAGGAGGGTGAGAGAGAGGGTTCTGTGTCCAGGCCTCTGGCTGGGGCGGGAGGTGGGGAGTAAGGAGCAGCCCAAGATGCGTTTGGGGTGGAAACCTGAGGAGGAGCCTAGAGCCCAGTACAAGGAGCATCCACTCTGGAGGGTTCTTGGGGAACTCGGGAAGGAGGCCCAGTAGAAAAGTGAGGTCTTGGCTTTCCTGGTCGGGGAGAGGGTCGGTGGCCGCTGTGACTGTCTCTGAGGTACAGGACGTGTACTTGGGAAACAGGCCCTCAGCCCCTTGCCTGCTTTCACTGGGCCTCAGCCAATGTCTGCTGCCAGCGAAGGCCTCCCCTCTTTCAGGCTGGGTGAGCTGCGTGGCGTGAGGTAGAGACCGCCCAGTGGCCTCTGGCACTTCCAAACTCCCTCTCTCCCAGGACCTTTGAACCCTGATGCTGTCTCCTGATGGGCCCAGGTGCTCATCAAATGCACTTCCTCAGGTGACAAAAAATCCACAAGGAAGGGAATGCAAATAAGTGACATGGAGTTATTGGAGGGACACCTTAAAAAAAAAAAAAGCGAAAGTATTTTCCTGCCTAGAATGATTCCTAGTCTCCTTTGAATCTAAAAGGCATTAAGAACATAATTTGTGTTTTGTTTGTGTGTGTGTGCTCAGTTGTGTCTTGCTCTTTGCAACCCTGTGGACTATAACCTGCCAGGCTCCTCTGTCCATGGGATTCTCTTGGCAGGAATACTGGAATGGGTTGCCATGCTCTCCTCCAGGGAATCTTCCCCACCCAGGGATCGAACCCGAGTCTCCTGTGTCTCCTGCATTGGCAGGCGGATTCTTTACCCCAAGCCACCTGTGTAAAGAACATAATTTCTTTTACACTTAATGTTCATACAACCTAAGTGAATAAGGAAAGGACCCTATGAGGGAGTTCTGTATTTTCTGAAAATTCCTTTCCGTGTTTAGAGATAGAGGGGAAGATTAGTCCTGTAATTGTGGGCTCTCCTTGTTCCAGCTAGTTATTGTTTAGTCACTAAATTGTGTCCGACTTTTTTGTGACCACATGGACTGTAGCCTACCAGGCTCCTCTTTCCATGGGCTTTCCCAGGCAAGAATACTGGAGTAGGTTGCCATTTCCTTCTCCAGGGGATCTTCCCAACCCAGGGATCGAACCTGGGTCTCCTGCATTGTAGGCAGATTCTTTACCAACTGAGCCACGAGGGAAGCGCCACCTTAGTCAACCTCTGGCCCCCCCCAAAAGACAGTACATGGTTTTGACTTGGTAATTCCACTCCAGCCTTCTTTCTCATCCCCAAATTCTATTTTGGTCACATGGTGCTGGGTGCAAAAACAAAAAAGGGAGCTTGCCCCTCCTTCACTGGCAGGTACAGCTTCCACTGCTCCTATGTATCTCAGCCCTGAAGACAGTCTCCTGTGCCAGCACCCTCTCCCCTCCACCTGCCTGAAGGACCAGCCACCCCTCCTGAGTGGGAGTTGGATGAATCCCAGTTTGAGATCATTTCAGACAGTGGTGGCAGTGATGGTCAACCTAGAGGCCCCAGAGACTCCTGGGGTTCCTGATGTTTCCAGCTGTTTGGGGTAGAGATTCTGACAGTTCTGTCTCTGTCTCTGAGAAGGAAACAGGATATCTGGTGGCCTTTGGGGACAAGGCAGTGCTGGTTGGGGTCGAGGGTATGGAGGTGAGGTGGTCAGACCGAGCGAGTCTTTGTGAATAGGAGTGCCTTTCTTAAATTCTGGGGCTGAGCTTGGACATTATTGGGGATGTTTTGAAGAGGACATTTTTTTGAGTGAGGAAGACTCATTGACAAAATAAGTAAAGGAGCTGAGACTGGTCTGGAGCAGTAGGGTTTGGTCTCATCGTTGTGTGACTGATTTGAGACCCAAGGTTCTTTTTTTAATTGCTATTTTTAATGGAGTATAGTTGCTTTACAGTGTTTTGTTACTTTCTGCTGTAGAACAAAGTGAATCAATTATACATACACATATATCCCTTCATTTTTAGATTTCCTTCCCCTTTAGGTCACCACAGAGCACGGAGTAGTTTCCTGTGCTATATAGTAGGTTCTCATTAGTTATCTATTTTATGTGTGTATGTGTGTGGGGGATAAGTTAGTCGCTCAGTCCTGTCCAACTCTTTGTGACCCCATGGACTGTAACCTGCCAGGTTCCATGGACAGAGGAACCTGGCAGGCTATAGTCCATGGAGTTGCAAAGAGTCAGACATGACTGAGGGACTAACATTTTCTATTTTATTTATTTATTTATTTTGTATTTATTTATTTTTATTTATTTATTTTTTCATTTATTTTTATTAGTTGGAGGCTAATTACTTTACATCATTGCAGTGGTTTTTGTCATACATTGAAATGAATTAGCCATGGGACTAACATTTTCACTTTTCTTCATTAGATGGTTTGTATTCAACTTAATACTGAAGCCAATCTTATAACAGACTACTGTTCACAGCCGTGGTCTTTGTCATGTGGAGCCCTGTCCTCTGCTCGTAACATTTATTTATTGGCTGCGCTGGTCTTTGTTGCTGCACGCGGGCTTTCTCTAGTTGTGAGCAGGGGCTACTCTTTCTTGTGGTGCACAGACTTCTCAGTGCAGTGGCTTCTCTTGTTTTGGAGCATGGGTTCTAGAGCGCAGGCTCATAAGTTGTGGCAAACGGGCTCTGAGGTATATGGGATCTTCACTAACCAGGGGTTGAACCTGGATCCCCTGCATTGGCAGATGGATTCTTTACCACTGGACCACCAGGGAAGTCCCTGCTCTTAACTTAGACATTAAGGTGACAATGGGACCATCACGCAGATGCTGTGAATGGCTCAGGGAGCTGGCATCTCTGCTTCTCAAGGCACTCAGAGCAGATGTCTGGGGCCATGGCCATCACAGGCAGGAGACTGAGGAGCAGGCCGAGTGGTCCAAACAGCTGAGGCGAGCAGGTGTCTGAAGGCTCCCGGGGCGGCAGCAGATCTTGGTGGTCTCCTTTTCACGGCCCTCCTAACTGTCTGCAGGTGTGAAGCGGCAGCTGGGGATGGTTCGGCCCGGCCTGAGCATGGTCTCTGTCTTCATCTGCCTCCGAGGCACCAAGAAGGACCTGGGGCTGCCGACCACCAACTACTATATTTATTTTGACAAAGACATGGACAAAGCGTAAGGCATAGGTGTACATGTGCAGGAAGGGTAGCAGCCTGGTCCCCCAGAGCCACAGATGCTAGGGGAGAAGCAGCAGGATACAAGATGGGAGGATATGGGCAACAATCTACTCCAAAAGGATTTTTTCCCACCTGGGCTGTGCCTTGGCTTCATCCCTTGGGGATCCCTGGGGATGAGCTGTGCTCGGGGTGGGGCTGGTGGCTGGGGGGAACATGGCCGGGACCAACAGCCCCTCTCCTGCCCAGGATGGAGCACTATGTCTCTCTGCCTGGGGACAAGGCCGCCGCACACATGCCTATTTTCTTCATTTCCTTCCCATCGACCAAGGACTCAACTTGGGAGGACCGGTACCCAGGTGAGGCTTGGTGTGCTGGGAGGTGGGGCTTGGGTGGGTAGGGGCAATAGCAGTGACCCGGCTCTGCGTCCCCAGACCGGTCGACAGCGATCGTGCTAGCGCCCGCCTCATATGAGTGGTTCAAGGAGTGGCAGGACGAGCCCCAGGGAAAGCGGAGCAGTGCCTACGAGACCCTCAAGAGCTCCTTTGTTGAAGCCGCTATGTTGGTCTTCCTGAAGCAGTTCCCACATCTGGAGGAGAAGGTAGGAGGGCAGAGTTGGTGGTTGGTGCATCTCTGCCCCTTCTGTGGGGCTGGGAATGAGGCCTGGGGTGACTGAGCTCCAGGGGAGCCCATGCTGGCTGGCAGCTCGTGCAGGGGCAGGGAAGGAAGAGGCGAGGGTCTCACAAAGTCCCCCTCCCACTCTTCGGCCACCTCTTTTGCCTCTTCAGGTGGACAGTGTGACTGGAGGGTCCCCGCTGAGCAATCAGTTCTACCTGGCGGCTCCCCAGGGGGCCTGCTATGGGGCTGACCATGACCTGGGCCGCCTGCATCCTGGTGTGATGGCCTCCATGAGGGCCCAGAGCCCCATCCCGAACCTTTACTTGACAGGTACGCTGAAGGCCCCATCCTGCCAGGAAAGCTGGCCCTCACTGTCACTCAGAGTGCTGTTTCTGTTGCCTCGGTGGCTGGGGACCCTGGTCCTAGTCTGAAGGCATCTCTGTGGCCCTGGCTTAGGGGCTCCTGTCTTCCCACTACCCTGCCTGGAGGTGGGGCGGAGGGATGCTCACAGGCCTCCGCTCTTGTCTCCCAGGCCAAGATATTGTTACCTGTGGGTTGGTTGGAGCCCTGCAAGGGGCCTTGCTGTGCAGCAGTGCCATCCTGAAGCGGAACGTGTACTCAGACCTTCAGAAGCTCGGCTTGTGGATCCAGGCACAGAAGAAAAAGAATTAGTTGGCTCAGGGAGGAGTCAAGAGGAACTGGCACATCCCCTGCCTCACCTGTGTTTTTCTGCATTAGTTCCTTGATCACGTAAAGCACTCTAATTATTGTTTCTCATTTTTGGATACAGGTCCAACACACAGGTCTAGCATAGATGGTGGTTCTTAAACTGAAGCTCCTTCACACCTTTTAGAACATGCTGTTCCTACAAAACGCCCAGTGTGGGCTACAGACGTGGGTGGCTTTCATGACCCGTCAAGCTGCGCTCTGCATCCCACACCCATACCTCCTAAGTCTGAGCCATCAAATGGAATATTCTCATCAGGTGGCTAGAACCCTTGAGAGCTTGGGTCAGCTGAAGCAGGGGGGTCCTGTTGGCCTGAGGCTTCTCCTCCGGTTCCCCCTTAGTGCCTCACTGCAGGAGTTCTACGCAACAGGGAGAAGGTGTCTGGTGAGCATGGTTTGGCTTGTAGTTCCACAGGATCAGAGGATGCAGATCCTATTTTTCTGGTTCCAGTGGCTCTTCTGAGTGTGGGGAAACTCCTGTGATATGGCCCATGTGGATGTGGGAGCTGGCAGTGGACAGGACGTGTTAGCTAGCAAGGTATATACGTTATGGGAGAACATCCAATTCATATGTGGCAGGGGCCTAGGCTTGTTTTCCTTATGATTGGAGTCACGCTGGGTTCTCACCGTGTCAGCACCAGGATACCCTCCCAGAGCTCAGGGCCTGAGCCCCAAGGCGTTGATTCCTAAAATACACAGCAGTCGGGGCAGAGGCCTAGAAAGACAGCTTCACTAGGGTTGACACAGGCGGAAAGCATTCCAGCCAAGGGTACAGCAAAGGATAAACACTGGGAGGTAGCGAGTGTATTATGACAAGCAGCCCAGTTACCTCTGACCTAGAATCAGGGCTGCCTGGTGAGGAGGAATGGGGTTGGAAGTAACGAAAAGGTCATGGAAAGTTACAGAATGTGTGCAATGCTTGGGAATGCGTTTCCAGTGTGTTGGAACTTACATGGGGATCGGGTGGGAAGGTGAGTGAAGGTGCTAAAGGTTAAAAAAAAAAAATAACCTTTTCCTTATTAACATGCCTTATTTCAGTCAATTTTAATGCAGTACTAATAACCTTAATATTTAGAGCGGGATTAAGAGGTACAATATAATCATTAATACTAAAATAACTTCATATGGGGACAAATGGTTACTAGACTTATTGTGATCAATTTTGTAATGTATACAAATGTCAAATCACTATGTTGTACACCTGAAATTAATACAATGTATATCAACTATACTTTTTTTAAAAAGAGGAAAAAATTAAATTTATTAATTTTATAGCTTTAATATTTGAAATTTATTTTGGTTTCTGTGTAGAGATACAAAACTACGTGGTGATGGCATTCACAGAAGCTCAATAAAACATTATATGGAAAAATACTTATCGTTGGACCAAATAAGCTTTAAAGAAATAACTCATCATTAAGTTACAAGCTAGAAAAATAAAACATTGCAAAACAGTAGTATTCTGCTAATTGGGTGAACAAAAAAGAAGGGAAACAATTTCAGCAATCAACCATTTATTGAACACTTTAAAGAGTTCTGAAATAAAGGAATTCCAAAGAGTGTGAGGAAGCTGGCTTTGTTGGCAGCTTGAAACCTGATAAAGCTCAACCCAATGCTTTTTTTTTTTTTTTTAAGACCCAATGCTTTTATGAGGAGTTTCAAGATTGGGGTATTTGGGAAATCCACATGTGACTTCATGAAACTTGGCTGAGATTCAGTCTTGGTTCTGGATATAGTTAAATTTGAGAAATCTCTCCCCAGGTTTCCTTCTTAAGCAAGGCAAAGCCAGGTACAATGGTCCCACCCAGAATGTTGAGGAGATAGCTGGCAGAAGTACAGGGCCTGGTGTACAGTGTACTCTCCTCCCTGCTCAAATGATTCAGAACATGTGCAAGGTTTGCCAGTTTTCATCTCACATGCAGCAGCATTCCGTACCAAGTCACCCTCCCAAAACGAGGGGCAGGCTTGTGAATTAAATGATGTGAAGTGGGAGGAGGAAATGAGAATCACTATTGGGAATTTGAGAGGTTTAGAGGTCTATCACCAAAAGTTTCACGAAAAGTCATCATGTGGCAAGAAATGTGAGTGTACAGAGCTAGTTGTCAGGTCTTTCTGAGTTAACTTAGCCTTTTTAGGTAGACTCTTCAAATGATTCTAAAGCACAGATTCCTCCAAATAGAAACCACTCTTCAACCAAAAACTGGGCAGCAAAACAAGCACAGAGCTGACTGGATAGGGCAACTCTCCTGCCTGCCCTGTGCCCCACCCCTGGCTAGAGAGATCCTTCCCCTACCACCAGCTCACCCTCATCTAAACAATCTCTAGGAAAACACAATTCAAAGAGTCTATCTTCAAAACGACAATGACCCAGAAGACAACTTTTCCTTTGGTGTGGGAGATTTCTTTCAGTGCAATTTCTAAAGTGAAACTTAAAACTGTATTCTTTCACAGAAGAAATCATCCTGCTCAGAGGCTCAAAAAGTGAAGCTACATGGACTCCACAATACGTATGTGTCCACCTGGTGCCAACCTGCTCTCGGTGCCTGAAACCAATCTTGCTTTCTGCTCTCCTCCTTTCTAGCAAAATCCATCAATAAGGGCAACAACCAGCAGCCGGAAAGCAGTGTGTGAGGCATCAGTCAGATCACAGCCAGATGTCCTAAAGAAAGAGCATGTCTCCATTGTGAGAAGAAATGAACTCAGGTTCCCAGGGACTGCCCCATGTGAGGCAGATTTGCAGATGGTGCCATGGGCGCTCCTGCGAGGAGCTTCATTTTCTTGGGGAGATCAGACAGAGATGTCAGATACTGACTGCTCTGCTCTGCTTTAGTTCCAAAATGCACAAGTGACATTCTGTTTACTGGAGTAAAACAGAAAGAGCTGATCAAGTGAGGTGGGGGATTAGGAAGGTGCATGGGCAAACTGGAGCTGGGGCCTGAAAAAACAGGTTTTGGGGAGGCAAAGGAAAGAAGAGAAGGGGGTATGCCCTAACTGAAAAACAGCCACCAGAAGTCAGGGACTGGAGAATGTAGCAAGGATGTCGAGGCCTGATGGTTGCCTGACAAGAGGGGCCTTAGGCCCTGGAAGGATGCAGGGAAAGATGGGCAGGACATCACCAGCCTGCAGAGCTGTAAACACCAGGGTCCATGAGCTTGATTCTCAGAGCCACAAGACAGAAGCTTCGGATCACTCTGGTCTCTACACACACAAGAGGAAGTGGACAAGAGATCAATGAAGGTGGCTCCAGGGGAAAAAAAAGATCCAGAAGGATAGTGAAATGGGTGGGGGTGTGGGTCAGGGAAGCAAGGAAATTGGAAAGAAAGACTGTAGCTAGAGATATTTTTCTTTTTAATGGATAGGAGTTTTGTGCCAAGAGATAAAAATGTCAGCTCGGACTCAAGATGATTAAAAAGACTGGGCAATTGAGAGGGGCAGCTTAATGTGTAGAAGAAGAGAAATTCTGTTTCAGTGATAACAGCGTGACAAGCTGAAATGTTCACCACACGGCAGGACAGGGTTCTCTGGGAACTAGGCTGAAGATAGAAACTTGGGAGTCACTCATCCGTCACTCATCCAGAGGCTAAAGAATGAATAAGTTTCTCAGGAGACACAGATAGACCTGTCTTTGCAGGCATTCTCCGCCACCAGCGCAGGGAAGGCAGAGGAGTTCTCAGAAGCCAGGGCACAGAGACCACAGAGGGGAGGCTGAACTTGGATGGTGTAGGTGTCCAATTCTGTTCAGGACAAGACTAAGCTTTGAGAACAAGCCACTGGATTTGGTGATCTGAACCTCTGGGAAAACATTCTTGGCAGAAAGACAGGGACTAATGAGTTTGTAAAGGTTATGAGGAGGATGAATGGCAAGGGAATGGAAGCTGTACTTCCTGGAGAAGATGAACAGCAGAATGGACCACAAACAGGATGGATGGGAGCAGAGAATCTGGGCACACACATAGGTGGAAGGAAAATGGTGCCAGTGGAGACAGGCAGAAGTAGACAACATCAGAGGGGAGGAAGAAAGGCAGGGAAGAGGGAGACAGAGAAGGAAATAAAGTAACCATGGTCTTAGGGGATGATGCCAAGAGTCTTCATTCCTCACCTTTACAAATGTCACCTGGAGAGGATGAAAATCTCCACTCAGTCATGGGCTGTTTTAAGTGAGGTGGAAGATACCATGGCAAACACTATGGCCCCTTTTTCCACCAGACTTCTTCAACAGCCCAGAACTTACCCTCTTCCTCTCACTTCTTACTTTCTTAGAATTTCCCTGAGATTAGCTATTCTCTTTCAGGATCTTCTTTGCAGAAACAACTCTCTTTAGGCTCTCTATAATAGGGTAGCACAACATTTAAATGAAACTTCAAACAATGGTCTTATCTAGGAGGTTACCCTTGGTTACCCCCCAGGGAATTCTCTAAATTTCTTAAACTTTAATAACACCTGACATGGGACAGAGGGGGGAATTTTTACTAATTAGCCTTGCCATTTTATATCAGATAAGAGGACCCTTAACTAGACTTAGGTAAACAAGGGAGTATAACCAATTTTTAAATATAATACAAATATTTTAGGCAATAAAGGCAAAATAAGAATTTGTGGGAAGCCTGTTTCTTAAAAGTCCTTTAAAAAAATGCAGACCCAAACCAAACAGTCCTACATGCTTTCAAAGCATGAACTCACTCTACTTCAAAAAGTTCTTGTAAGGATGGTAAGCAGGCATAAACACAGTGTTTCGATATCATTAACTGTTATTTTTAAAACATCTGTGACAGGGAACAGTGGCTTTAAGCTTTCCTCCCAGAATCCCCAAGTTCAGTTTTCTGCTCAGTACAACTAAATGCAACTGGATTCACTTTGTCTTTTAAGTGATATGAAACTGTCAGAAGAGCATGAAGAGCTTGCACTAGGCAGGCTGGACTCGAGGGCAAGAAAACCCGTTTTGGTTTGCTGCTGGAGACTTTGAAGAGAATCGTTTTCACAGGAGCCCTGAGGCCATGAGCAGTTACCATCTTCTCTATCTTTTGTGGGGTACACATCCCCACAAAGGAAAAGGCCTTGGGAGCAATGGGCCTTAACCTGCAGTTTTCTCCTAGGCCCTCGAAGGTAAATAGTGTTGAGTGCAATGGTGTTTTCAAGGGCTAACCACCTTTAAGCCAAGGCCCCAGGCAAGGCACCTACCCAGGGCCAGGATCTCCCTTTGGTCACAGCTGGGTGCCCACATGCTCCGCCACTCACACTCAGAGGGGGACAGCCTGGAAGACACCAGCATAAATAACGGGAACACAGGAGGACAAACTCACCAAAGTGCAGGTGCAAAAACGAAAGCAATGCCCCTTCCCCACCTCTGCTAGCCCCGACCTGCCACCAAACCCTGGAGGAGGGGGTGTCTCTTAGGTCACAGTGTTTTTCTCTTCATTATTCTTGATTTAGAGACAAATCAGCAGGGAGGACAAGGTTCTCAAGAACAGAAAAAAATCAAATCTGAAACGAGAGCAATACAATCCATTGGTAACTTTCATCTGTTTTCAGAGGAATATATCTTACTGCTGGGATGCTGGGGCTGAGGGGAAGAGATCTCCTAGGATTTTCAGTTCAGTGGAAAAATTCAAAATGAAGACAAACTGACCCTCACTGTACAAAGAGCAACAGATAAAATAAAAGATTTTAATCCCAATTCTCAGGGTGAGTCAAATGCCTGTTAAAACTTGTTAAGTGCTGGTCAAGTGTGAAAAGTATAGGCAGGGAGTCGAGGGAATTGCTCTGAGGTCTTGAGTTTTCCAGAAACTAAGGGGGAAAAGATCACGTGTTTTGGGACTTCCCAATGGGATTGCATTGGTCCAATGGTTAAGACACTGCCTTCCAATGCAAGGGTGTAGGTTCGATTCCTGTTTGGGGAGTTAAGATTCCCACATGCCTCACCTGCCAAAAAACCCAAAAGGAAACCAGAAGCAACACTGTAACAAATTCAATAGACTTTTAGATAAAAAAAATATCACAGTGTTTCTGGGTCTGAGCTTCCTCATCTACTGAAGGAAGATGTCCCAGAGGTTCTGAGAATCTTCTAGCACTAACACTGCAGACGTGCTTACAGGGATGTTTGTATGCTGTGGTCTGGGAGGGGCAGAGGCAATGGCAAACAGCACCCCCAGAATCAGCTGTTGCCGCTGTACCAAACACAAGCCCATAGCTGCGTCCATCTGAGATTGCGTATTCCTCCCTCCTCTCTTACCTTCTGGTCCAAACGTTGGTAGTCAGTGGCCTTTGGCCGCCGTGTAACTTTGGATCTTTTTCCTTCCAGGACGAAAGCTATAATCTGGGGAAAAGGACAAGAGAGTGATTAACAAGTGACTTTATGGTGACAGATTTCAGTCTCTGAAATTACAGGTAATCACCTGGCAGCCCATTTGTTAATGATCTTGACAGCAAAAAGAGTAGGCCATTTACAGAAAGGCCCTATTGACAATTATAAGGAGAACAGGGCCTAGTTACATCAGAATCCTTTATCCTAAACAGGAAATGACAGGTGCAAGACAGCTGTTCTAGGCTCTAGTCAGCTGGAGTCTGTGTGATTTACTCAAGAGAACGCAGCCTATTTAAAAGCAGAAACATCACCCTGCTGACAAAGATCTGTATAGTCAAAGCTATGGTTTTGCCAGTAGTCATGTATGGATGTGAGAGCTGGACCATAAAGAAGGCTGAGTGCTTAAGAATCGATGCTTGTAACTGTGGTGCTGGAGAAGACTCTTGAGAGTCCCTTGGACTACAAGAAGATTGAGCCAGTCAATCCTAAGGAAAATCAACCCTGAATATTCATAGGAAGGACTGGTGCTGAAGCTGAAGCTCCAATACTTTGGCTACCTGATGCAAAAAGTCGACTCACTGGAAAAGACCCTGACACTGGGAAAGATTGAGGGCAGGAGAAGGGGGTGACAGTAGATGAGATGGTTGGATGGGATCACTGACTCAATGGACATGAGTTTGAGCAAACTCCAAGAGATTGTGAAGGATAGGGAAGCCTGACATGCTACAATCCTTGGGGTACAAAGAGTCAGATGGGACTTGGTGACTGAACAACAACACAGTGAAAAGAACTGCCAACTCCTCCCCAACTGAGACTCCTCCAGGCTAAGCAAGTCCCCCTCCTTTTATCTTAATATTAAGCAATAATTACTTCTAATCTGCAAATGTACTCTTTCACCCCACACTTTACTTCATCTGAACCTTACCACTGTCATTTCATACTTAAGGTAACTCTCCATGATAAGCACTTGGATGTAGAATAAGCAATGTACCTTAAAAAAAAATTTTTTTTTCATGGCCATATTTATGTGGCATTGGGGATCTTAAGAACTCCAACCAGAGATCAAACCTGTGACCCCTGCAGTGAAAGCACGGAGTCTTAACCCCTTAAGTGTCAGGGAATTCCCAGCAATGTACTACTTTTATTAAATGTCTTCTCTCACTTCTCACAGTCCTAGGCCTTTTGACTATCATGAATTGAACCCTTCAATTTTAGTCAGACTATTAGAAACTACTAAATTCTTAGGGCTCATAAGAAATGCAATCATTTGGGGAAGAATCTGAAAATGAATATATATATAAAAACTGAATCACTGTCCTGTACACCTAACACAACATTGTAAATCAACTACACTTCATGTTTTTTTACATTTCAGTTAAAAACAAAAAAAGAAATGCAATCATTTTGTCGTTGGGACTGGTTACTAAGCAACACAACAAACCCTGCTGAAGTAAAAGATGAGCATATTCATATGCAATTTCTGACCTTTCTTCTAATCAGAAACTCAGCTGCAGAACATAGACCCCTGGGTGCTCTACTGCTGGTATTAAAGACTCTGTAACCATTCTTTCTGTTTCTGCAGGTGGAAGACAAACGCTTGGGAGAGGAAGCTAGAAATAAGATGACAGGAAGCACTGAAAATAGGAAGATCACTGCTTTAACTACATACAAACTGTCAGGTCCTCAGGTCCTCTCTCAGGATGTGAAAGATTCTAAGTTCCAAGATTATGGGAGGAGACCTTCATTTGGGTCAAATCATAATAATGTACTAACCGTCACATCTGATGCAACAGCAGAGGGTACTCAGAGGAAACAGATGTGAAAATAAATGATTTCTAAAACAAAGGGAAAAAAAAAAAGAACCACAGAAAACCCAATAGAGAACCCTGGCAGAATCTCAGGGAAAAAAAAAACGGAAGTTTGTTTATTAAATTCCCGGGGCGGGGCTTACAGGCTGATGAGTGATGGATACTCACACACCAGCCTTTCTGCGGGGAGGAAATCCTACTCCTCCTAAGGCCATTCTTGCCTTACCTTCCGCTTATTGTGGTAGGCGATATAGAGGACAGCGACGAGAATGGCTGCTGTCACCAGATATGCAAAAAAGTGGCTGCTCTCTGCACTGGCATTTCCAGGGTTATCCTTATAAAGGTCACTCTTCTTACTCCAGGTATTCGAAAGTGTCCCTTCACGGTTCTCCCTGGAGGCAGGGCCAACCATTTCTTTCTCTTCTTTGGGTGGTGCGTCTTCCTCTGGCTCTGTATCCCCTTCCTCAGGCTCCTTGGGCTCCACATCTTCAGTTAGTTCCAAGGGCTTACCTTCTCCCTCCTGCTGGGGAGAAGAGGGGTCTGCCAACACTTTTTCCCCAGGTTCAGTTCTGGAAGTCTGCAGAGGTTTGCCAGCTACTGTGTTTACATGAAGCTTGGTGGACTCCTTGTTATCAGAAGAGGGGCTGGAGACCAACTTGTTGGATTGGTCTGTGAGGGAATTGCCAGGGTCGGCTTTCCCGGGGTGCTGTTCGGTTTTCGAATCGCCAGTTTTCTCCAGGTGCTGCCTGGCTCCCGAATTGTCAGAGTCGGTTGTCGCGGAGCGCTGCACCGATCCCGAATTGTCAGGGTCGGCTCTCTCGGGGTGGTGTTCGGTTCGCGACTCGTCAGGGTCAGTTTTCTTGGAGCCCTGCTTGGCTACCGAATTGTTGGTGTCGGCTTTCTCGAGGCGCAGCTCGTCTGTCGAATTGTCAGGGTTGGTTTTCTCCGGGCCCTGGTAGGCTCCGGCACTGCCAGTGTCGGGTTTCGCGTCGGTCTGATTTAGAAAGGTTTGGTTACTGGGTTCTTGCGACTGAGCGATCAAGCCGTGCTGCCCGGAGCTTCCTGCAGAAGCCTCATCTTCCTTTGGAGCGCCTGCTCCGGCGACTGGAGCAGAACTGAGCAGCAACTCTGAAACAGAGAAACTATCTGGCTGAAGAGAGGCAGTCGGGGAGAAAGGACTCCTCAGAATGTTGCAACGGGCAAACCGGAGGGGAGGGCTGGCGAGCGGAGCGGTGGCGAGGTTCGGGCAAGGAAGAAGTGAGGTCAGGGGCCGACAGGCCACGGTGAAGATGACGGGCCCGGGGGCGAGAGTGGGATTACTGGGGGCTGGTCTTGGGACTGCGGTGGGGTGGGGGCGGGGGGGAATTCTTACCCGCTGCCACGACGCTCAGTAACACGAACGAAACCGGGAACCGCATCCTTCACTGATTGCGCTTCCGCCCCCTAATGCTCTCGCGAGATCAGCACGCGGGCTTAGTGCTATGCCCCGCCCCTTCCTGTGTGCGTCGCCGCAGCCCCACCCAGGCAAGGGGCAGGGATTGGCAAAAAGGCCGGCAAGGTGGTGGTCCGCTGTTTCCCGAGAGGTGTGACTGCTTTTCCTGGTGGCGGGGCTGTATTGTTGCGTGTAGAAGGCGTATTTGTCTTTCCTTGCTCACTTAGCTCCGCAGCGGCCGCTACAAACTTAGTCCCTCTTTCCTTCTTTGCTCTGTACTTACGAGACAATACTGGGTCGTTGGGGCCTGGCGCTTGCTCGCTCCCATCCTCTATCTGCCTTTCTATCTTCTCCCTCTCTCATGGCTCTTTCCCTGCAACGCACAAACGTGTGGAAATCTGGAAACAGAAACTCACCCTGTCACCTTTGTAGCGGGAGTCTTCGCAACCCTGCTCCCTGCTGTTTTGATCCCCACGGAAACGGTGTCAAAGATCTTTTCTAAAAAGTTCATCTGTTTTCTGATCGTGTCAATTACTCATTCATGCTAGAAAATTCACCGAATGAGTACAAGTAGAAAACAGAATCTCTGCCCCACGCTTCCAGAGTAGTGACTATCAACGTTTTAGTGTATTTCTGTCTTGCAAGCAATATTTTTGATTAGGTAATATGATCTAACGGTTGAAAAATCAAAGTGGGATTTATTTTTTGAAAAGTTCACATTAGAAAGTTACTGAAGCAATTATCTTTAAATAAAAAACCCTAAAAAGTTATTTTGGGATTTCTCTTGTGGTTCAGTGGTTAAGAATCCACCTGCGGATGAAGAGGACGTGAGTTCTATCCTTGGTCCCATGGGGCAGCCAAGCCGGTGGGCCCCAGCTACTGAACCCAGTGACACAGACAGAGCCAGCGCAACAAGAGAAGTCGTGGCAATGAGAAGCCCCTGTTCTCTGCAACAAGAGGAAGCCTGAGCAGCGAATAATAAATAAATAATAAAAGAATGTTTTTGCTCTCTAGCCCTCCTCCACAAGTTCCAATTCAGTGATTTTTAAAAACAAATACAAGTAGGATAAATATAAATATACTCCCGCCCCCTGCTTCTTAAGTAGTGTGTTTTCACAGTCTTTTATTCTATAATTATTTTCACCCAAATTGCAATTATTGGATATATAGTTTTGTATCGTGCTGTTTAAAATTTATGTTGTGTTCATACAGACGATGGGATGAAAATAGTGTGTTTAGGAGTTAAACATTTAGAAAGCTGTTGCAGTAGTCCTAGAAGGACTAGCATAGGTACAGTGAGAATGGAGGGAAGTGGTTGGACTCAATATAAATTTGGGAGGAAATACCAACAGGCCGTGGAGATAGATTGGCTATGGGAGGGAGGTGTGATGTGAGTAAGATGTGGAAAACCAGATTTAATACGATTGGGGGACTAAAACTGAATTTATTCTTGCCTGTGAGACAGTCAAGTAGAAATAACAGAGAGGTAGCTGGAAACGTGAGCATCAAACGTGAGTAAAATGGCACTCTCCCCTAATTAATTTAAATATTGTCAAACATGACTGTTAATGGTTTCATAAAAATTTATATTTATCATTGATTTTGTGACAGTTTCCTTATTATTGGGGTTCTGAATTATTTTCCGTTTTCTTCTGTTAGTGATTACTGTTTATAATCAGGTACTGATTAGGTGCCTGAGACAGAACCTCAGAAAACTTAAGCAGCTTGTTTAAGTCATGCTATTATCTTACCCATCCTTGGTAAGTGACTATGCTTTATCTGCTAATTTGATAGGAGAAAAATAGTCCTGGTTATCTTTTTTAAATTAATTTTTAAAAAATTTTATTTATTTTTGGCTGTGCTGGGTCTTCACTGCCACGCAGGCTTTTCTCTAGCTGCAGTGAGTGGGGACTACTCGTTGCAGTGCATTGGCTTCTCAAAGTGGCAGTTTCTCTTGTGGAGCACAGGCTTCTCGGGCAAGCAGGATTCGGTAGTTGAGGCGTGTGGGCTCAGTATTTGTGGTTTCCAGGTTCTAGAGCACAGGCTTAATGGTTGTGGTGAAGCCTTAGTTGCTCCAAGGCTTGTGGGGTCTTCCTGGACCAAGGACTGAATCCATGTCTCCGGCATTGGTAGGCAGATTCTTTACCACCGAGCCACCAAGGAAACCCGTTATTCTTTAATGTTTACTGCATAAATAATTCCCTGACTTTGGGCAATTAATTGTTTTAGGTATCAATTTCTTCATTATGAAATGGGAATAAAAGTGTTGAGGGTGAGATAATTCATACAGTGTATTTAACAGTATCTAGCATATAATTGGAGAAGGCAATCGCACCCTGCTCCAGTACTCTTGCCTGGAAAATCCCGTGGATGGAGGAGCCTGGTGGGCTGCAGTCTGTGGGGTCGCTAAGAGTCTGACACGACTGAGCGACTTCACTTTGACTTTTCACTTTCATGCATTGGAGGAGGAAATGGCAGTCCACTCCAGTATTCTTGCCTGGAGAATCCCAGGGACGGGAAGCCTGGTGGGCTTCAGTCTGTGAGGTCGCACAGGATTGGATACTACTGAAGTGACTCAGCAGCAGCAACGGCAGCAGCAGCAGCATATAATTAAGGCTCCCCCAAATTGTTATAATTAATATGTTCACTATAGAAAAATTTTTTAAAAAAAGGATAAACCAAAGTAAGAAAATAAAAAGGTCCTGTTCAGTTCAGTCGCTCAGTCGTGTCCGACTCTTTGCGACCCCATGAATCGCAGCACACCAGGCCTCCCTGTCCATCATCAACTCCCGGAGTTTATTCAAAGTCATGTCCATCGAGTCAGTGATGCCACCCAGCCATCTCATCCTCTGTCATCCCCTTCTCCTCCTGCCCCCAACCCCTCCCAGCATCAGGGTCTTTTCCAATGAGTCAACTCTTCTCATCAAGTGGCCAAAGTATTGGAGTTTCAGCTTCAGCATCAGTCTTTCCAATGAACACCCAGGAATGATCTCCTTTAGGATGGACTGGTTGGATCTCCTTGCAGTCCAAGGGACTCTCAAGAGTCTTCTCCAACACCACAGTTCAAAAGCATCAATTCTTTGGTGCTCAGCACTTTTTATAGTCCAACTCTCACATCCATACATGACCACTGGAAAAACCATAGCCTTGACTAGATGGACCTTTGTTGACAAAGTAATGTCGCTGCTTTTTAATATACTGTCTAGGTTGGTCATAACTATCCTTCCAAGGAGTAAGCGTCTTTTAATTTCATGGCTGCAATCACCATCTGCAGTGATTTTGGAGCCCAGAAAAATAAAGTCAGCCACTGTTTCCCCATCTATTTGCCATGAAGTGATGGGACCAGATGCCATGATCTTAGTTTTCTGAATGTTGAGCTTTTAGCCAACTTTTTCACTCTCCTCTTTCACTTTTATCAAGAGGCTTTTTAGTTCCTCTTCACTTTCTGCATAAGGGTGGTGTCATCTGCATATATGAGGTTATTGATATTTCTCCCAACAATCTTGATTGCAGCTTGTGCTTCCTCCAGCCCAGTGTTTCTCATGATGTACTCTGCATAGAAGTTAAATAAGCAGGGTGACAATATACAGCCTTGACGTACTCCTTTTCCTATTTGGAACCAGTCTGTTGTTCCATGTCCAGTTCTAACTGTTGCTTCCTGACCTGCATACAGGTTTCTCAAGAGGCAGGTCAGGTGGTCTGGTATTCCCATCTCTTTCAGATTTTTCCGAGTTTATTGTGATCCACACAGTCAAAGGCTTTGACATGGTCAGGAAAGCAGAAATAGATGTTTTTCTGGAACTCTCTTGTTTTTTTGACGATCCAGAGGATGTTGGCAATTTGATCTCTGGTTCCTCTGTCTTTTCTAAAACCAGCTTGAGCATCTGGAATTTCATGGTTCACATATTGCTGAAGCCTGGCTTGGAGAATTTGGAGCATTGCTTTACTAGCATGTGAGATGAGTGCAATTGTGCAATATTTTGAACATTCTTTGGCATTGCCTTTCTTTGGGATTGGAATGAAAACTGACCTTTTCCAGTCCTGTGGCCACTGCTGAGTTTTCCAAATTTGCTGACATATTGAGCGCAGCACTTTCACAACATCATCTTTCAGGATTTGAAGTAGCTCAACTGGAATTCCATCACCTCACTAGCTTTGTTCGTGAAGATCTTTTTTTGTACAGTTCTTATGTGTATTCTTGCCACCTCTTAATATCTTCTGCTTCTGTTAGGTCCATAACATTTCTGTCCTTTATTGAGCCCATCTTTGCATGAAGTGTTCCCTTGGTATCTCTAATTTTCTTGAAGAGATCTCTAGTCTTTCCCATTCTATTGTTTTCCTCTATTCTAATGGGTATATCTTTCCTTTTCTGCCTTGCTTTTCACTTCTCTTCTTTTCACAGCTATTTGTAAGGCCTCCTCAGATAGCCATTTTGCTTTTGTGCATTTCTTTTTCTTGGGGATGATCTTGATTCCTGTCTCCTGTACAGTGTCACATATCTCTGTCCATAGTTCATCACACACTCTATCAGATCTAGTCCCTTAAATCTATTTCTCACTTCCACTGTATAGTCGTAAGGGATTTGATTTAGGTCATACCTGAATGGTCTAGTGGTTTTTCCTACTTTCTTCAATTTAAGTCTGAATTTGGCGATAAGGAGTTCATGATCTGAGCTACAGTCAGCTCCCGGTCTTGTTTTTGCTGACTGTATAGAGCTTCTTCATCTTTCGCTGCAAAGAATATAATTAATCTGATTTCAGTGTTGACCATCTGGTGATGTCCATGTGTAGAGTCTTCTCTTGTGTTGTTGGAAGAGGGTGTTTGCTATGACCAGTGCGTTCTCTTGGCAGAACTCTATTAGTCTTTGCCCTGCTTCATTCTGTACTGCGAGGCCAAATTTGCCTGTTGCTCAAGGTGTTTCTTGACTTCCTACTTTTGCATTCCAGTCCCCTATAATGAAAAGGACATCTTTTTTGGGTGTTAGTTCTAAAAGGTCTTGTAGGTCTTCATAGAACCGTTCAACTTCAGCTTCTTCAGCGTCACTGGTTGGGGCATAGACTTGGATTACCGTGATATTGAATGGTTTGCCTTGGAAATGAACAGAGATCATTTTGTCATTTTTGAGATTGCATCCAAGTACTGCATTTCAGACTCTTTTGTTGACTGTGATGGCTACTCCATTTCTTCTAAGGGATTTCCTGCCCACAGTAGTAGATATAATGGTCATCTGAGCTAAATTCACCCATTCCAGTCCATCTTAGTTTGCTGATTCCTAGAATGTCGGTGTTCACTCTTGCCATCTCCTGTTTGACCACTTCCAATTTGCCTTGATTCATGGACCTAACATTCCAGGTTCCGATACAATATTGTTCTTTACAGCATCGGACCTTGTTTCTATCACCAGTCCCATCCACAACTGGGTGTTGTTTTTACTTTGGCTCCATCCCTTCATTCTTTCTGGAGTTATTTCTCCACTGATCTCCAGTAGCCTATTGGGCACTTACCGACCTGGGGAGTTCATTTTTCAGTGTCCCATCTTTTTGCCTTTTCATACTGTTCATGGGGTTCTCAAGGCAAGAATACTGAAGTGGTTTGCCATTCCCTTCTCCAGTGGACCTGGAGTTATTATTAAGAATAATACTTTCTTGGTTCCCCCTTTGTATAGGCAACTATGGGCATATGATCAATTATTAACTGGAAACAAAGCAAGTCACAGAACCACACATGCAATTCTCATCTTGCCGGTCTCATTGTCACTTTAGTGACAACTAGTCATGTCACCTCTTTTGGGACACTAACATCTCCTTATTTCCGTTTCCTTACTTAGCATCCCTTGAGGGCTCACGATTGTCATAGAACTGTTTTCAGAAGGATAATGAAATTGACAGCACAGAGTTGAAGTAAGATAAGGAGTTATTAGGTATTTCAGTAGAGGGAGTGAAAGCTGGTTGCAGTGGGATAAGTAATGGATGGAAGGTAAGTAGAAACTACCTTTTCCTGGAAGTTTGAATGTGAAACAGAGGGATTCTAATATGGAAGAGGACTGAGTGTTTTTACCTGACTGAGAAGAATAATTTATTAGACCAAGATTACAAGACAGAGGGATATGATGACTGCTGGAAGGGCTGAGATTTAGGGGACAGTTCACCCTGAGTCGGCCTTGAGACCTGTGGAAAAGCAGTTAGAACGGCTGGAGGATGGGTGGATACTTAGGTAGGGATGTGGGAGATCAGAATAGAATTTGTTTTTTAACCTTTTTTGGCTGTGTGGGATCTTATTTCCCCAACCAGGGATTGAACCTGTGCCCCCTGAATTGGAATCTTGTTGGAATTTTAACCAGTGGACCACCAGGAAAGTCCCCAGAATAGAACATTTTAGCTGGCCTCAATTTTCTTGGTATTCTAAGGGGCAACATAGTCTCTGAGAGGGAAAAGGTGGGGATTAACCTGAGGGCTTGAGGATGGTGGAGAGAAGAGTTGTTGAGCAGATTAATACAGGAAACTGACAAAGGGTAAGTGTAGTAACTGACAGCAGTGCTGACGGCCTAGCTTATGTTAGGCACACGTCTACTGTGGCACCTACTGCAGGTGTGTGGTTTTGCTCCAGGAAATGCTGCTAAAATAGGATTAGAGAAGGTAGATTTTAGAGCTAACTTCTTACACCAATACTGGTTTAAGGGAATGATAGTGTCATAACTTGAATAAATCTTAAATTTCCTGGCACTTCTATATATAAAAATACTCAACAAACTTGGAAAAGCAGGGACCTTCCTCGACCTGAAGAGGGCATGTACAAAAACCTTACTACTAACATAATGGTAATGGTAAAAGACTAGATGCTCTCTCTGAGATAAAGAACCATGCATGACTGTTCTTACCACTTTCATTCAACTTTGTATTGGAAGTAGCCAAGATTAATTCAGCAAGAAAAGAAAATAAGACGCAGCCAGATTGAAAGGAAGAAGTAAAACTGTATCTATTTGTAGATAACATGATCTTGCCTAGAGAGAATCTTGACGATTTTCTAAAAATTTATTAGGACAGGTTAAGCAAGGATGTAAGAAGTGAGATCAATATATAAAAATCAACAGCATTCCTATACACTTTCAATAGACAATCTAAAAATGAAATTAAGAAACAATTCCATCTATAATAGTATCAAAAATAATAAATCCCTCAGGAATAAATTTATCAAAAGAAATGCAAAATTATACCCTGAAAACTACAAATATTACTAAAATAAATTCAAGAAGCCCTACATAAATGGAAAGGCATTGCATATTCATGAGTTGGAAGATGTAATTGTTAGAATGGCTGTACTTCCCAAATTGATCTACCAGTACAATCCCTATTAAAATTCCTGGTGGCTTCTCTGCAGAAATTAATAAATTGATCCTAAAATTCATACAAAAATGCAAGAGACCCAGAATAGCTAAAACAGGTTTGAAAAAGAATGAAATTAGAGAACTCTCATTTCCCAATTTTAAAACTAATTACAACATTGATTAGGACAGAGTAGCACAGGCATAAAGACATATGGCTAATGGAATAGAATTGAGAGTATGGAAATAAACCTATATATTTATGGTCAAATGATTTTTAACCACGGTGCTGACTGTTCAACGGGGGAAAGAATAGTCTTTCAACAAATGGTGTTGGGATAACTCACTAATGTATGGATGTTCACCATCATTAGTGTTAGTTAGATAAATGCAAATCAAAATTACAATGAGACACCACTCCACACCTACTAGGATGGCTGTAATTTAAAAAAAAAAAATAGGAAAATGCACCAAGGAAATGCAAATAAAAAACCACGATATCATCTGACACCTGCCATAATGGCCGTCATCAAAAAGAACACAAATAGGACTTCCCTGGTGGCCTTCCCTATGCCACAGCTGCTGAAGCCCGTGCACCTAGAGTGCATACTCCACAGCAGGAGAGGGCACTGCGCCAGCAGGCTAATGCACCACAACTAGAGACTATCCCACACACAGTAACGGAGACCCAGCTCAGCCAAAAATAAATTAGATAAATAATTGTTTAAAAAACATGAAATATCCAGAGCAGACAAACACAGAGACAGAAAGTAGATTCATGATTGTGCAGGGCTGGAGGTGGTGGTGTGAGAAGGAGGAAGTGGAAGGTAAGTTCCAAAGAGTATGGGGTTTCTTTATGAGGTCATGAAAATGTTCTAATGTGATGATGGGTACACAATTTTGAACACAAAACCACTGAATGGTACACCTAAAATGGGTGAATTTTATGAATTATATACCTCAGTAAAGCTGTACAACAAAAATGAATTCCAGTGCTCGGTGTGTGCAAAGAAACCCAAGGATACCCCTCCCATCTTGGCAATTACAAGAAGACAAATGAAAATAAGAAGATTCATCCCTTGGGATCTCAGTTATCTATACTGACTGGTCTGTGCACATTCAAAGCTGAAAACTGGATTAGATTTTTCTAGTTCTGTCGGGCATGACTTACATCCCCTTCCAATAGAGGCATTCCTCCTTTGCATTCTGTAAAAATCTTACACAGCCTTTGGTGTGAAGAAAGGGGCTTGAGTCAACAAAGGACTAAAATACTCAGCCAAGTCTTGCAACTGCAATTTTATTTTCTTTTGTGAAAATAAACAACTGGGAGTTTAAATTGCTCCAAAAAACCCCATAAAAATGAAAAGAAATACACACAGAAGAAGCATGTGAGGTGATTGGGGAGGGAGGAGGGTCTCAGAGCTTTGGCAGATTGTGCTAGCACATTCCCGGGTGACAGGAGCCAGACCTGTCTGCCACTCCAGGGCTGTGAGGGGACATCTTGACTGGTAAAGGGGTGGAACACAGGCTTCTTCACTGAGGAAGTGGCAGGCACCTTGAGTCCCTTTAAATGCAGGGGAGAACCATTTTAGAGGACCTCTTCCTCCACAGAAAGCTGGAGGCTGGGGCGGGGGGGGTGGGGGTGGGGGTGGTTTAGGGCCACTGAGGGAAAGGTGCGCTGATGGAGACAACGGAGGCCAAGGTGTCTTCTCAGGTGGTGACAGCCTTACACTGGGCAGAGGACGAAGATGAAGGCATGAACCCACAGGAGAAAAACGTGGGCCAAGTAAAAGGGAATGTCAAGGAATGGGTTGTAGATGAAGAGGCTAGAAATGGCAACAGGGCCAACGTGTAAGCTGGATTGAGGGGAGCCAGGAAGCAGGGGGTGGGGGGTTGGGTGTGCAAGGACGATGGGAAGAGGAGGGAGGGCAGAGAGTCCAGGAGGTAGAGAGAGGGCTGCCTTCTGCCCAGGTCCATCCACCGCTGCACATACAGGAAGAATAACACACTACTTTTCAGTTCTTGTTTTCTTTTTTTTTTTTAAGATTTTTGTTTGTTTGTTTTTTTAAAAAAGCCTTAAGATCAGCTACTGGTTACATCTACAAAACGTAAAGTGCTGCTGTTACCAGTCACTTTACAGAACAGTCCAGAGTGGTCAAATATTGACCAATAAAGTTTCCTTTTTTTTCCTTCTGCATCCTTACTACTCGATGAGTCACGTGACAGCCTGCATAGGTCAAGGGGGGCAGCTTAGTGGGCAGACTTGGTGACCAAGGACAGAGGCTGGGCCTGGAGCACCGGGAGGGCCTGGTGGGCGTGGAGTGTGGCCGGGAAGGATGGGGGGGACGTCAGCAGAGCTGTGGGCATGGACCCCAAAGGGAGGGGCCGGGACAGGAGTGGGGGCTGGCTGCCCATCTGGCCAGAGGAGGTGGCAGCAGCCTTTGATGACAGGAAGGCAGCCGAGTGGAGAGCCAGCTGGGCCCGGGTCTCTGGCTTGGTGGTGAGGGAGAGGGGCTGGGCTTGCTCCGAGTGGGTGGCGGCCGGGGCGGCCGGCGAGGCCAAGGCCGCGGAGGGGGTAGCTGGGGAGTCCAGCATGCTGCCGTGGGAGGAAGCAGGGCTGTCACAGGGCTTCTCGGGGGGCAGGTACTGGACACATGGCTTCTTGCTTTTGGAGGCCAGAGCACCTGCGGGCAGGGCGGGGGGCGGGGAACAAACAGGAAAGAGTCAGCCGCTAGGAACGCTGGGAAAGGCGGAAGTAGTACGTATGACCCGGGAAACAAGCATGCGTACAGGGAGGGACGTGAGGCCCTGAAATGACGTCTAAGGCTTTCACGACACCTAGAGCATGGAGAAGGAAATGGCAACCCACTCCAGGGTTCTTGCCTAGAGTATCCTAGGGACGGGGGAGCCTGGTGGGCTGCCGTCTGTGGGGTCGCACAGAGTCGGACACGACTGAAGTGACTTAGCAGCAGCAGCAGCAGCAGCAGCAGAGCACAGAAAAGGGCCAGTGCCAAAATGCCAAAGACCACATTCAGTATCTGCCTGGAGGGAAAATAGCTGAGCTTATCAAATTATCATGCTGTGCTGTGCTCAGTGATGTCCGCCTCCTTGCGCCACTATGGACTGTAGCCCGTCAGGCTTCTCTGTCCCTGGAATTCTCCCGGCAAGAATAATGGAGTGGGTTGCCATTTCCTTCTCTAGCAACTTATAATCTTCCTGCCTAAATCTTATCATTTGGAGGATGGATCTCCAGTTTGCTTTAAAATCTTTGGTTTATGATCCTCTTAGAGATAGTACAGCGCCTGCCAAGCACCAATTTAACAGATTTTGCGTCTATACATAGTTAACTTATGTGTACTGCTATGGAGATGAATACACAAATTATAGAGATATTAGAAAGCTAGGAAAGGAAGTGAAAGAAAGGCGATAAAAAGCACTTAGTGTGTGTGTGTTAGCTGCTCAGTCACATCTCACTGTTCACAACACTATGGACTGTAACTCACCAGGCTCTTCTGTCCATGGAATTCTCCAGGCAAGAATACTGGAGTGGGTTGCCATTCCCTTCTCCAGGGATCTTCCCTACCCAGGGATCAAACCCAGGTCTCCTGCATTGCAGGAGGATTCTTTACCAGCTAAGCCACCTGCAAAGCCCTTTAGATGGAACTAAACTAGTTCTACCCTTGTCCTGGAATGAGCGTGAGATGGGAGGTGTGACTGAAATACTGGCCAAGGTATGGGCTAGTTTGTGCTGGGTGAGATTCTGATGTAATTAGATATTTGTGGCACAGAGGGGCCTTCCTAATCCAAGCAAATGATTATTTCTGATATTTGGCCAACCAAACATTGAAGGAAAACCTGACTCTACTGGATTCACTGTAAGGTGGTATGCTAGTGTCTAAGGGGCTGCGTTCCTAAGGGAATTTCAAGGCGCATTTCAACAACATTCAGTTTTTACTTTTACTGCATTGATTTTAGAACCTAACCCTCAAATAAGACGCAACTCAACTGAATTGAAGAGCACCTTTCGAGTGACAGTGCTGGACCAAATCCTCCCTGCATTTACCAAGCAGCATGACCAGGAAAGTCCTTTCACTTCTCTGAGCCTCTGAACTGATCATCTCCAAAAGAGGGGTAATAATAACACCCACCTGAGTATACCCAGGTGGTGCTACTGGTAAAGAACCCGCCTGCCAATGTATGTAGACGTAAGAGACGCAGGTTTGATCCCTGGGTCAGGAAGAGCCCCTGGTGGAGGGTATGACAACCCATTCCAGTATTCTTGCCTGGAGAATCCCCATGGACAGACGAGCCTGGTGGGATGCAGTCCATGGGGTCGCAAAGAGTTGGACACAATGGAAGTGACTTAGCATGCACGCACAAATGTACATGAGGCAGAGTCCTTGAAAATAGCAGCTATTAATATTAAAACACAGCGTTGACACAGTGTCCATCAGAGATCAAAGCACAGGGTGCCAGCTGGTGTAGCTGGCACAGCGAGGAAAAGAAGTAAAGGCGAAGTTCCCTCCTGAAGACTCACCGTCTGCCTCTTGGACTTGCTGCTGCTGGGACTGCGTCTGGGACAGCTGTTTTTCTCGCTTCCTCTTCTTTTTCTTACCCTGAAAGATATGGCCAAAGGAAAAGGTAATAACCAGGGACAGAATAATGGCTTTTCTGATGGATTCAGTTATGAAGTGGGGAGACAGGAGATTTTCTGTACCAGGTGCCCAGGTCACATTCTGTGCAGCAGCCTCACGAGGAGGCATGGTGAGCCTTTCTGGGAGGGGCCGCCTCCCTCCCCTCAGCTCAGATAGGTCCTGACTTTCTTGGAAGGTCTCATTCTTTCCCTGCCCTGCAGGCTTAGTTTTCTATTTCTCTCTCTGGAACAGTGTCAGGTTCCTGATCTTTTTTGAGGCATCCCTGGTCTCACTGAAAATCTCATCCAGCTGGAATTCCCTGGCGATTCAGTGGTTAGGACTATATGCTTTCACTGTTGAAGATGTGGGCTCAGTTGGCACCAAAGGAGGAAAAAAAAAACTAACTCAGCTATCAAGATTTTTAGCAGAAAAAGAGCAAGTAAGAACATACATACAGGGATTTCCCTGGCAGTCTGGGGTTAAGAATCCACCTGCCAATGGGGTTCCATTACTGGTCTGGGAAGATCACACATGCTGTGGGGCAACTAAGCTCGTGTGCCACAGCCACTGAGCCTGCATACTCTAGAGCCTGTGCTTCACAAGAGAATCCACTGCAGTGAGAAACCTTCCCACTGCAACTAGAGAGGAACCCCCTGCACATCACAACTAGAGAAAGCTCGTGAAGTCCCACCAAAAAAACTTTTTTAAATAAAATTAAAAAACCTGTCCAGTTCCAGGGAGGTATCAGAAATGTAGGCCGTAGCTCATGGCATTGTGAGCCCGAGGTTGGGAACCCTTTGCTAGAGACACTGATCATCAGAACTAGCACACAGCTGACACCACACCCTGAATTATGGAATTAAAGGCTGAGTCCACTTCCAATTCCAATTGGCTTCCCAGGTGGCGTTAGTGGTTAAGAACCTGCCCTCCAATGCAGGAGACTTAAGAAACACAGGTTTGATCCCCGGGTCCGGAAGATCCCCTGGAAATGGCAACCCACTCCAGTATTCTTGCCTGGAGAATCCCATGGACAGAGGAGCCTGGTGGGCTACAGATCACAGAATTGCAAAGAGTCAGACACAACTGAAGTGACTTAGCATGCATGCATACCCCACTTGCAATGGGACAGGCACAAATTTAAGTCTGTCCTAAGGACACCAAAACCATGTCCTTGTGGCCCTCCTGAGAAATAAAGTGTCTTCCTCATTTCTAGAGAAATACAGACTTCTCCCTGGCCTTAAGGGTCCTCTATCACTGGAGTCAGCTTCCTTCTCCTCCAAATCCTCACTTGGAGGCTGCCCCTGGTGTCTGAGTGGGCACGTACGTAGTTGTCCCGGGCTGACCAGGTTGGGTAGAGCTGCGAGTGAAGCTGCCGCTCCTTCCGGGCCAATTCGTAGTACTTGGCCTGTTCTTCTCGGGACAGGTTGTGCCACTGTGGAGAGGACCAGCGAGGACAGAGTGGTGAGCGTGGGGCACGCGGAGCTGCACAGCCTGGAACACAGGGGTGGCTCTTACCTTCCTCCCCAGGATCTGGTTGATGGCTGCACTCTCCTTCAGGGTGCACTCGGCCACCACCTTGGCCCTCATCTCCTTCATATATAACATGAAGGCATTAAGAGGCTTCTTCACGTGGGGCTTCTTTTCTTCCTCTTTCTTCACTGTGACTGGTGATTTCCTGGGAAGTCACAAGGCTGTAGGTTAGCATTTGTCAGCTGTCATCTCTCAAGGAGGCTAAGGGCTGACTGCCTCTGGGGAGGGGGATGAGCAACTTGGCAGCTATGAAAGTTGCCCAGGGCCGCTTTCAGCACCTGGGCACCAGTTCCTAGTCTCTGACTGACCTCCAGCCATATTCGAGGAGAGGACAACTTCCTGACAAAGGAGCAGAGGGTGGCAGGGGGAGCTGACATGGACTGGCCCCAGGTGAGAAAGAGGAGGGGGCAGAGCACTGGAGGCAGAAACAGAGCGGGGGCGGGTCTCCTTGTCCATGAGACTTTGACTTTCAGTGGACAAAGCGCGGGCCATGGTGCTGGACTCAGCTCTGACCCAAGTCAACCATGTTGACTTGAGAAAATTCCCCTTGCAATTTTCAAGTGTTTGGGGGGACAGGAAAGGAAGCTAAAAGCTCTCTCAGTTTCTCTTTCACTTTCAAAGTCCTGATTGTAGGGCTTCCCCTACTGTGAGAAAAGATGTATGGTGTCTTTGAGAGGATGGGAATTCCAGGGGTCAAAGGGAACAGTTCGCAAGGAGGGGAGGATGTGGCCGAGGGAGCCGCAGGCTGAAGGTCCCCAGGAGAAGAATCAATGGCACTTGCTGCTCAGAGACTGGCCACCCACCACCAGGCTGCCCATTACTCACGCGCTCACAGCTGGGCTCAGGCTGGGGGGCGCTGGTTCCTGCTTGACGATGGGGGAGACGATGGCGGGGTGGGGGATCCCTGAGGTGGGCAGACCAGGATGGGCCGGAGCCACCATGTGAGGGGAGAACCGACTAGAAACCAGGCTGCATATCAGGAGAAAACAAAAACAACAGAGGGATTCAGGCTAAATGCTTGTCACTTGCAGAGGACCTGGTGGAACCCAGCCTTGATGGCAGAGGCATGTGAACATCTCTGCCATGGCAGAGTTGGAGCCAGAGAAGGCTATTTACTGACCTCGAAAGAACTCATTTTGGGAAACACCCAACAAACCTCCCTTCCCTCACAAACACACAGGGTTCCTATATCTAGTGCTGAAAGCATGTGGGATGAAAAACAGAAGATACAGGAGGTAGGAGGCCAGGTACACAGGGGAAAGGAAAGAAAGGCTTATGCTCTGGGTTGTATTTTTTTTTTTGTCATTGTTGGTACCATTGTCAGGTAGGTTGGCCCCTGAGACAGAAATCCTCTTTCATAGTTCCCTTCTCCTGACATCATTTCAGGAACAATTAATCTCCCAGCCTCTGGCTCCAGTCTGACATATTCAAAATGCTTCAATGCCACCAAGCCCTGCCCCGCCCATAGGGGAACATGCAGGAGGACTGAGTGCAAGGGCTTTAAAATTCTCTTAGAGAGAGAGATGGGGCAAGAGTGAGCAGAGTCTGTTGTCTCCACCCCACAACTAATCAGAGAGGTGGGGAGGAAAGGTGAGCACCTGCCTCTTAGCTTACTGCCAAGAGAGCTGTGCAGGGGAGCCAGTAGACAAGCATTCCCTGTGCTGCCGCTTCCCCGCTCACAGCCCCAGGACTCACCTGGACATCGAGGCATTCATGGCGAGGGCAGGGTAGGGGTGCCTGAAGCCACCAGGAGGAAGGGAGTACATGGGCTGTCCTTGCCTATAAGGGCCAGGAGTAAGGAAATCTGGTCAGGAAACTGGCTGAAATGGGGACGTTCATAGGGCCGGAGAAGGGGTTGGGAAGACAGGATGATAAGTAAAAGGCAATAAGTAGGAAGCGGGAGTTGGGAAGATGCTGCCTGGGGAAATTGTTCTGATGCCCTGGGGAAGTTCTGGGCTTGGTGAGAGGGCTCCACTGTGGGGATGGGGATTGGGGAGGCGGGGCATCTGTATTTGGACCCCAAAGACAGGCTGAAGGTACAGGAGGCAGAGCTCAGTGTAAGGAAGGAGGGATAAGAAAGGTTGTAAGTTTCCTTACTGTGGGACGAGCCAGCTGAGGGGATGTGGGATTTGCCCAACAGCTCCAGGAGACAGTGGGTAATATGGAGACAGCTCGGATGGATGAGGGGGCCGGGGGATTCCTGCTTCCAAGGAGAAATGTGTCAGACAGTTCCTTGACCCTACACCTTAAAGTCACATCAAACGGGAGGCTACCCTTTGTTCCCAGATGCTCTGCAGCTTGCAGTGCCCTTTCTTTCACTGTTTCTGCCCTCAGTCACCAGTAATTTCCAACTGCTCATATTGGAGGTGTCCAAGACACAGGCAGGAAATCTTGGACTGAGAAACCCAAGCTTATCTCCGGAGTCATCAGCTGGAAAAGCTGTTTCATTCGTGGAAAAATAAACTTCAGATTTCCGTGTAACAGGGAATAACAGTAGCTGATTCCACGTTGGATCTGTTTTTCTTTGACTTTAACCTTTGCTCTCCATGCTCTTGTTACTATAATTGTTGAAAAGATGCTGTATATAAGCTGCAAGCATACATAATGGCCTGTCTCAGGGAACCTCTGTTGGAAAGTTAGACTGTTCTGACCTGGCCCACCTGTGACTGGCTGCAAGAAGAAATTAACACATCCCTGTCCTGATGCAGGCCAAGCCAGGAGCTATTCTGCAAGACTTGTGGCCTTTTTATTTTACTTCCTCCTCCTCTCTGTTCTATAAAAGAAACTGGCATCCAGACTCCGATAAGATGGTTCTCTAGGACATTAGTCTGCTACCTTCTTGGATACCCAGCTTTCTGAGTAAAGTTGTTATTCCTTGCCTCCCAATTACAGGCCTGTCATGTGGTGAGCAGACTGAGCTTGGACTCGATGACATCCGTTCCACATTTATCCTCCCTATTATCTGTAACTTGTAATAGCTGTCTAAAGAGGGACTCCAGAAATGTTCTGAGCCACAGCAACTCTGGGAATTTTATGAAAACGATGGCTCCCTCTGGGATGAACAGTGTGGGTGGGCAAGTTGAGAAAAAAGTCAACTCAGTCTCTTGCCTTGTATCTATACTTACAAGTGTGTTAGGGGAAACACACTGACTGAAACTGCCCACCCTGGCCAGGTACCATAGAAACCATTTGTGCGAGTTATTTTACGACAGGAGGTCCTGGCAAGGAACATGGAACTAATAAGCCACCACCAACCGGAAGAGTTTGCGAAAGGTCAAAATGAGACGCTATGTATCCTACCACCTCCCAGGATCCTTCCAGCTGGCATCCGTCTTAGCTGAGCAATGTGTGCACCACCAGGAAGGACCCTGAGTCAGAACAATTGGCTAAAGACAACTCAGAAACTAACCCCATCACCGTAAAACCTGAGTCTGTGAGCCACATGTCAGAGCCCTCCTCGGCTCCCTTATCATACTGTTCTCCATGGGGGTGCCCCTTCCCAGTAAAGACTCTTGCTTTGTCAGCATGTGTGACTCCTCAGACAATTCTATTCTGAGTTACCTGGGCCAGCCTGAGCAGCAGCCAACTCACCTGTCTTTGGATCGATCTCTGGGGAGAGGTGTGTGGGAGGGGAGCCGGGGGAGAAGTGGTCGTTGCTGTAGGTGATGAGGGGCGTCAACGGATGCATGTGGTGCGGGTGCTGAACAACAGGAACTTTATTAGACTGAAAGACAGAGAGAAAGAGACTAGGGCCAGTTGCCAAGGAGATGGAGTATAGACGGGCCTCAGAGATACTGCAGGTTTGCTTCCAGACTGCTGCAGAAAAGTGAAAGACACAATGATTTTGGTTTCCCAGTGCATATAAAAGTTACACTTATACTATTCTATAATGTTAAGTATGGGGAAGCGCTGGTGGCTCAGCAGTAAAGAATCTGCCTCCAGTGCAGGAGACTCAAGTTTGATCCCTGGGTCGGGAAGATCCCCTGGAGGAGGGCATGGCAACCCACTCCACTATTCTTGCCTGGGGAATCCCATGGACAGAAGAGCCTGGTGTTCTACAGTCCATTGGGTTGCAGAGTTGGACACGACTGAGCACATGCAGTGTTAGGTGTGCAATGGCATTATGTCTAAAAAAATACATTTGTTGTTGTTGTTCAGTCCCTCAGTTGTGTCTGACTCTTTGCAACCCCACGGACTGCAGCACCCCAGGCTTGCCTGTCCTTCGTCATCTCCCGGAGTTTGCTGAAACTCATGTCCATTGAGTCGGTGATGCCATCTAACCATTTCATCCTGTGTCATTATATATTATATATATATATATATATATATATATATTTTGCCTTTTTATACTGAGAACCCCATGAATAGTATGAAAAGGCAAAAAAAAAACCCATACATACTCTAATAAAAAACACTTTGTTAAAAGGTGCTAATCATCAACTGAGCCATTAGTGAGTTGTAATCTTTTTGGTTTTTTTTGTTTTTTTTTTTTAAATTTATTTATTTATTTATTTATCACAACCATAGTAGTTGTAATCTTTTTGCTACGGTGACATAAAAAATGACTGATCACAAGCCACCACAACAAATATAATAATAAGGATAAAGTTGGAAATATTGCAAGAATCACCAAAATGTGACAGAGATACACAGTGAGCAAAGGGTGCTGGAAAAAATGATGCTGATAGACTTGCTGGATAAACCTCTAATTCATAAAAAAATGCAGTATCTGTGAAGCACAGGAAAGTAAAGTACAATAAAACGAGGTATGCCTGTAAAATCTGTGGTTATTTACTGAGTTGACTATGTGCCAGGTATTTTCCATGCAGCATTGCATTCAGCCCTTGTAGAGAACTTAAGAGAAAGTAGCAGTCTATTTGCCCCTTGGAAGAAAAGCTATGACAAACCTAGAAAGTAAATTAAAAAACAGAGACGTCATTTTGCTGACAAAGGTCTGTCTAGTCAAAGCTATGGTTTTTCCAGTAGTCATGTATGGATGTGAGAGTTGGAAGAGGGCTAAGCACTGAAGAATTGATGCTTTTGAACTGTCGTGCTTGAGGACTCTTGAGAGTCCCTTGGACTGCAAAGAGATCAAACCAGTCAGTCCTAAATTAAATGAGTTCTGAATATTTATTGGAAGGACTGAAGCTCCAATACTTTGGCCACCTGATATGAACAGCCAACTCGCTGGAAAAGACCTTGATGTTGGGAAAGACTGAGGGCAGGAGGAGAAGGCGATGACAGAGGATGAGATGATTGGAAGGCATCACCAACTCAATGTAGGTGGATTAGAGCAAACTCAGGGAGATAGTGAAGGACAGGGAAACCTGGTGTGTTGTAGTCCGTGGGGTCACAAAGACTTGGGTAAGACTTCATGACTGAACAACAAATACAGCAGAAAAAGAAACAATAGGATTAGAAGAGGGATTACACCCAGCCTCCTACATACCTCTTCAAAACAGCCCACCATCACTCACTTCATGTACACTGTGTGCTAAATGGTACAGACTGCTGAATTATGAATCATGCTCTGTGTAATCTCAGTGAATTTTGAAAGGCTCAACACATGCTTGCCAAATAAACTTCTTAGAAATAGTAGCTCATGGGCTCAAGTCTGAGACTGGGAACAGAGCAGTGAGAGAACTGTCACCACCAGGCCACATATAACCACTTGTCATGTTCAAGGTTTACATTTACAGACACTACCAAGGGCACTTAGAACTGTTCTCTCTGGAGCGTATCAAAATGTGATCTAATTATCACATTTCATTTTAAACATCAGCAAATGTAAGGAGCACATTTTATATAACTGTTAAGAAAGCAAAAACAGGGACATCCCTGGTGGTACAGTGGTTAAGACTCCACGTTCCAATGCAGGAGGCCTGGGTTCGATCCCTGGTCAGGAAACTAGATCCTACATACCACAACTAAAAGATCCTGCGTGCCAAAGTGAGACATGGTGCAGCTAAGTAAATAAATAAACTCTGAATTTTTTAAAAAAGAAAGTAAAAACTCAGGCATGTCACCAACACATCATGATTTCAGAAATGTTAAAAAGGGGGGGAAACCTGTGTGCCCTGGAATTATTAAACTGAACTTTTAATTGTTTTAACCTAATCTCACTTAACAGTAAGGATTTTTATTACAAAAATGGCTAGCGTCCTTATTATAACCTACTAAAGGAGCTATGATTATCTTGGTTTGAGGAATAAGGAAACAGAGTATGGAAAGATGAAGTGATGTAGCCTGAGTCACAGAGGTAGTAAGTTACAAAACTGGATTCATATTAGCCCTTTACATGCTAACAAACCAGGGTGTCTCCTCTTGCATCACCTGCCAGCCCAACAGCCCAATCAAAACATCTGTCAGAGAAAGGACATATACTCATCTTTTTGGATAATAAGGTAAATGAGTTCCAAGTGGAAGAGAGATGTCTTTAAAAAAGAGATCTGTAAAAAGGATGATAATTTGATGGCATCTCAGGGGCCAGAATTCCAAACTTCTGTCTTTCCAGTTGAATGTTTCATTTCGTAGATTCCACGAGCACTTTTTGCCTTTTAGTTGATGCCCCTTTGGTGCTCATCATGCAAGCTACGATATGTACATCTCCTACGTATTTGTGCACTGACAGTAGCCTTGCTGTTTTCAGTAGTCTAAGCAGAGATGAGAGGCAGAGTCCTGGAGCAAGGCTTGGAACCCAGAGGCCCAGCTCCTAGACCTGCAGAACCGAGACGGAGATGTCAGATGCTCGCAACTACAACCACTAGGTGGCTCTGGTACACGGCTGGGCTGTCGGAACCTCCTCTTGGACAACTTCCTATCGCTTCCCTTGGTGGGCTCCTTTGGCGTTGCATGTAGTTGCAGGTATATTCTAAAATTATTTTCTTCTTTTACCTGTTCCCTTACTGGCTTTTGAAGAGGTCTCCACGTACAAGAATACGTAACACAAATAAGAATATTAAAAGATTATTTTAAGGTCAGATTTCTATTAACAGGATCCTGATGCAATCAATGATGCATTCAGGTTTCATGGAAGCAGCTTTGTCTGAAGGGCTATTTTAATTTTATTTACTTATTATTAACTTTTTTAAAAGGTGTTTTTTTCCTTCCCAAGGCATAATTTAGCTTTGAGAGGTTCTTTTTAAAAAAAAGTTTATTTATTTGACTGTGTCAGGTCTTAGCTGTGGCATGCATGATCTTCAGTTGTGACATTCGAACCCTTACTAGAGATACATGGGAACTAGCTCCCTGACCAGGGATCGAACTGGGGCCCTCTGCATTGGCAGCACAGGGTCTTAGCCCCTGGACCACCAGGGAAGTCAATAAAGGGAGATTTTTATATTATAAAAACCAATAGAATTATTACTAACAGTGATGGTAAATGATAAAAGAAATACACAGAATGAATGTGCAATTTTAAAATTACAGTTTTTTTAAAACATGTAAATTTTATGATAAAAAAATTAAAAAGACTAGTGGGTATTTCCTGGTGGTCCCGTGGTTAGGACTCGGCACTTCACTGCCATGGCCTGGGTTCAATCCCTGGTTGGGGAACTAAGATCCTGCAAGCTGCACATCACGGCCAAAAAGAGAAAAGAAAAATAGAAGCATACCAAAATGTAAACAGTAAGTATATTTGAATGGTGGGAGTACAAATGATTTTTTCTTGTGTTTTCCAACTTTATTATGTATTAAAAATATACATATGATGAATGCAAATTTCCTAAGAAAAAAAATACAGGCTATATTATAAAACATTTAGAAACCACAATCACACACACAATAAACCCCAACAACCCCACAATGCCCACAGTCACACTAGCATAACCCAGTACCTATTATCATTTTGACATATCTCCATCCACTTGGACTTCTTGTGCATCTGTTATTTACATCATTTATAGCCATCTTTTTTAAATTAAAATTTTCAGCTTTATTTAGATATAATTGACAAACAAGATTGTAATATATTTAACGTGTATTATGTGATAACTGAATATAGGTACACAGAGTCATCCTAAAATACTTAACGGTATTATGAAAGTAGGACTGGCCATGAGCTGTCTTCATCAGAAACTGGTAAACAACACTGAATGGGTGTCAGAGTTAAGCACAAAGCAGGGAAACATGAGTTATATTGGAAAATGCAGTCTCCTCACTTAAAACACTCTGTGAGTTATTACTGGTTCCCATTAGGTGGCATCATTGTCCAGAAAATGGACGGGAAGATGGTGAGTTCACAGAAAGAAAAAGGAAGGTAGACTTTTCCTTATCAGGCTGGGAATATGCAACCTCTGGAGATGATTAGCAAAACTCAGTCTCTTAGGCTCCCCTAGTGGTTCAGTGGTAAAGAGTCCATCTGCCAATGCAGGAGACATGGGTTTGATCCCTGGTCCAGGAAGATTCCACATGTCCCTAGCACCACAATCAACTGAGCCTGCTTTCTGCAGCCCGAGCTTTGCAACATAAAAAGCCACTGCAGCCAAGAAGCCTCTGCTTGCCGCAACTAGAGAAAGGCCGCATCGCAGTGAAAACCCAGTACAGCCAGAAATAAATAAACATATAAAATTATTTTTTAGAGATCATTCCTTTAGGGCTGATTCAGGGAAAGCTCTCCTTGGAGGCTCTCATCCCAAGAAAAGTTTCCCACTGATTTTTCTCCTTTGCTGTCCTCCAGGGACATGATGTTCGCAGCACGAAGCCAGGTCAAGGATAGGGATGTGG